AAAACGCTACGAATTAATTCCAACACCTAATAATATTATACTAATGTTATCTCTTATCTTTTCACTTTTTGAAAAGTCTATCAATAAAATAACGTACCCTATCACCTCGAAAGAAACTCCAATCCTTAATAGGTTCCACATGAATGAATTTATGTAATTTACTAGGTGCATTATCACGATGAAATTGATGAGTCCATGGACGATGTATTGAGAAATGAAATCGCTTTCTTTCAATCTTGCGTGGCAAATAATTTGGTTTGTTGGGTGTCTTCCAATAAACCTTAATAAATTAACAAATAAAAATGTTAAAATTAATAATTAATTAATTAGTCAACAGAGTAAAATAACTTTGATCAAATTTTAATTAACTTGAGCAACAATTAATTCTAATAGACACAACTTGCAAAAATAAACAACTTTTAAGTTCAGCCATTCAAAATCCGAAAATTAAAACTCATCATCTTAATATTGTTCTAAAAAAAATATGTAATATTTTATGTAATATTTTAAATAAAAATAATAATATATATTTTTTTTATGTTATATTTGTTATAAATGAATTTTTATACTATCTATTATATATAAAACTTTACTAATAGTTCACTTGGATTACTTTTAATACCTGTTTCTACTAATGCAGTTTAATTTACATCCAAGAATTAGAAAAAGATGACAATTTGACAATTGTACAGACCTGTGCCATTGCTCGTTCTATGTATCTATCCGGTAAATTTGCAAATTTCTTCGACCATTCTCCTATGCGTTTTAACAAACTGGATGTCAATCTCATGTCTACTTCTCAAATTGTAGCAAAATTGTTTTTACATTTAACGCAAATGTTACAATTTTCTAGCGTTATTTTTAAAATATCGTCCAAAATTTTTGGTTATGAATCTTCTTAATAAAATAGCCCTCACACTGCCCCGCACCATCCCGCACTGTCAGAGATCGCACCGCCACCAGAACAGATTTGGCTAAAGTCGAGGCAACTACCAGAGGGCTCTGAAAGACCGATTTCCGCCAAAGCATGCATGATCCAACAGAAACACAGAGTAATAAAGAGATCAAACTCGAGATCTGAAAGTGGGTTCGAAACACTGTGTTAGGAAAACTGGTCATGGAAAATCCGACAGATTAAAGTCACTAGATTAGACGAAACACTATCATGTCTCCTAAATAGCTGATTACAGCAATTAATTTTATGAAGCAACGTGGTATCACCGATTTGGTGGAAGATTCTGAAAAGCTAAGATTTTTTTATCTCCTTTTTTTGTTGAGTATAGGTTCTTAATATTGATATGGTATTTGGTCACCAAAGACATGGCGGAACCTGAAAACTCGTCTGAAAAAGATCAAAGATGCCGACGCTGCTTGTCCCTACTGTATATTTTTATATTGTGCCCAAACTGAGCACACAATGAGTGCTTTTCATTTGATGACACAAGTCAACACAAGTCAACGCAAGTGTCGTTCTATCTCTGAGAACTTTCCAATAGAGGCACAAATCGATACAAGAGTCATTCTTTCTTACTGAGTCTTTGTTTCTTACTGATTATCGAACAAGGACAGGATGACTCTTGTGTCAATTTATGTCTCTTGTTGGAAAACTCTCCTTGTCACTTTCTGAAAGTCAACAAGAGCATTGATGGTTTTGTCTTTCGGGAGCTGTCCAAGCCGCATGAACTCAGCTGCATTCATTGTAACAATGAATGTCAGATATCGTATGATGGATGTCGTACGTAATGTGAATCCTATATTTCAGGTACGATGAGTTCACTTGGAGCGACCCCGAGCATCTCCCGAGAGACAAAACGAACAATACTAAGACGGGGAGCATAGACTCTTGCATAAGAGCTATTCCACACAACTTGCATAGACGCATAAACGTGTGTATAAAGAAAATCCAATCGTATTTTATGTTTGTCTTTATGACAGAAATGTGTTTGGATAATTTTCTTTATGCATATGATTATGCGACAAGTTTATGTAGAATAGCCCTAACGCATAAAACATGAGGCATAAAAAAATCAACCAATCATAGTTCTTTATTTCATGGAAGGGAGAGAAACGAAGGATTCTGATTGGTACATTTTCTTATGCATTAAGCCGGTTCTACATTAGTTGCAAGCCGCTTGTAAGTTTGTTGCGACAGCCAATCTAAAGCTTGTATTTTAAAATCGACGCTTCGTATTGGCTGTCGCAATAAATTTACAATCAGCTTACAACTAATGTAGAACCGGCTTTATGCAAGAGTCTGTATTCCCCGCTTAAGAATAGAACGACGCTTGTGTCGATTGTGTCGACTTGTGTCATCAAATGGAAACCACTCCATGTCTATCCCTCCACCATATGGAGAACCAATCAGAAGTTGTGCCCGCTTTCGCCAACTCTGATTATAAGATCTCTAGATCCTCTTAAAGACTATTTTCAGGCTTTTCTCTGCCTGGCGCCAATTACAAAAATCTTTGAATTGAAAAGTTACTGAATAATAAACAATTTTCGTGGAAAAACGTTGCAGAGTGCATACTTATGTTTAACGTTATTAATATTAATACATCATAAAAAATTTCAAATAAATTTCTATTGACATCATGGATATATATGATCTTAAGTGTTATGGGAAATAGGTTAGAAAAACATTTCAGTGCTTCGTGATTTTTGTCTACAGAAGATTTTTGTACTATCTTATGCGTATCATAATGTTAATTCCGATGATTAGAAGGAGTGTACCATGTAATCTGCGACGAATTGTCGCAAGTGTCACTTATAGAAATAAAATGCGAACGAAAATCGCACAACAGTACGAATACAACGAGACGAATTTGTTGTCTAGCTCGACCTCAAATGTAACTTGTAGAATTTACTGCACTGAATCAGATTCTAAACCACACGTCTCTTTGCCTATGCTTGTGACTAATGTCGAACCGTTCAAAACATCTTTTTTAATGCCGTTTCGTCTTCTTTTCTTTTCTTTTAAAATTGCACAGATAGATAAGGAGTTTTCTATATCTGAAACTGACCGGGGAATCATATACGTATGAGATTTTTTATGACTAATTAAATACATACTATAATATTGTTCAGGTACTAACAAGTATATCCTTGCATTTCTAGGCAATAACAGTAATATCTAACGCTTTAGCAAATGAAAATTATGATTCCTTGGAAGGTCTTGTAGCAGAAGATATGATAGAAATTTTAAGAACAAAAATCGAGACCCTCAGTTCTGAGCAAAGATCATTAATTGCAATAAATAAAGAAAGTATTGTATTTCAATTTTTATCTGATATCTCAACTAAGACAGGTAACAGAATTATCAAATTAATACAATAATATTCTGTAATATATAGCAAATATGTATATATATATATATATCTTGTTTACAGATAAGGACCATTCCGTTCAAATTAAAATGATCCTCCATTACATCCCAGGTATGGCCGAGAGAAAGAATCAAAAGTCAGCTTTTACATTCGCAGACATGTCTAAATTTACAAATATATTAGTATGTAATTATACTTTTACCCGTAATTATGTAAATAATATTGGTGGTTCATGGATTGCGACTTTTGTAAATCATTATAGTATTAATGTCTTATTGTAGTTTTGTCAATATATTTGCATAATAGTTTGAAATAAAATTTATGTTAATTTATTTAATCATTTCTTGTTGCTGTAGAAAATAAGTGCTAGCTATCTATATAACATTATTTCATATTTTTTAATAAAAAGATATTAATATGATATATGATTATTTACATTAAATCGCATTTCAGACATGTATATACATATAATACAAATCATTTATTCACAATTAAAATATATGGATTCAATTTGTACATTCTATATAAATATTAGGTACTAATATGTTCCAATATCAATGGAATATAGTTTTTAATGTGTAGCAATGTTGCGCCAATTTGTGCCCCATTTTTTGAAACAGATATAACCAAAGGCCCCTACAAAATAAAATATTCTGTAATATAACATTTATCGCATATAATGATAAAATTTATGCATTTAAAATTACCTGACACATTTGTGGATTATGTATCCAACATTCTTGTTTGGAACCTGCAGTTTGGAATAAATTATTCCGTTTCGTGGCCACAAAATTAAAAAAATTTACTTCCAAATCTTCTAAATTACATACTGAAATCTTGATTACATTTAAATATGGTTCTATAAATAATGAGATAACAACCATAGCAGAAATACTAGCTTGCTTGAAGTTTATTTCGATAGATTTAGTTGAGAAAGCTATTAATTTATTTAAACGATCTAAAGTAGGCGATGGATCTCCTGCAATAATACAAAATGTCATATAATCAAATACAATAAAAATTCCAACACTGAATAGAAATGTATAAATATAACATCCAAAAATAAAATATAAATAGAAAAAATAAATCGTTCACATTTTTTTAATTATTTATATCTTAGATCAGATATAATAAATTTTATGTATACATACGTCTATCCAATATGTATTAACATTTTTAGTGTACTTTATTTAATTTGATAGAAAACATTTTGTTTAATTTCATACGATATACATCAAAAAATGTTTAATCTGTATTATAAGACAAAATTTCTATAATTACTTTTGTAAATTGCATCAGTGAGACGAAAAGGTTTAGTGATGGTTAAGGCAAACATTGGAATTTGATTACGTTCAGTTCCTTTTAATAATCTGTCTATTGCTGCAAATATAAATTAATCAATTATCAATTAGGAAATATTCAGACTATATGTATAAATTCCATTGTGTCTTACATTTTCCTACTTCTTCAAATACTTTTGTGACTGGGATATTTTTACTGATATATTTGCTCAGATGCATGGCATATAATCCGTACTTGCTGTTTGTTCTTTCGTAACTAGGACGATAACTAGACGTGGAGTACGCTTGTACTAAATTTCGTAGGTTTTTCCTACTCTTATATTCTTTGACTTTTGGTATCTCATTATGAATATCAGGATTAGATTCTCTGAAAGTTTTTTTTAATACAGTGTATCTGAATTTTTACAGTGTATCTTATATTGAACTATCAATATGGTCTTAATTCCCAAATCATATACATAAAAAAATAGATAATTGTAGAATTCCTTACTTTGGTGGTACAGTTTGACACATGTCCAATATCGTTACTAAAAGAGCAGGATCATTTTGCAATAATATAGCTAACAATTCACTTTCACATATTGCATCTCTTCTTAAATAAGATTCTGGCGCATCAACAGCAAGCATGTAACTTTCTTGCATTTTAAAACCATGTCCAGCATAATAGAATAATCCTACATGACATAAATTTTAGTAAAGGCACTATATATGTATATATTTCTATGCACACACGCAGTATATTTATAATAACTCACCATAAACTCCTTCTTTTAAAACGTCACCAAATTTTTTTATAGCATTCTTCATTTGTTCAAGCGACAAGTTCATCAAACAGATTATCTTAAAATCGATTTCTTTTAACAGAATACCAATTTTTGCAGCATCATTTTTAGGTGTCTCTAGACACATATGATTCTCATAATCATCATTTGCAATGATTAAAGCTATTTTTGCTATTGCTTTTTCACGAGGAAGGTCCAACTATATCAATACGAATATATAAATATATTATCATAACAGTTTAGACAAAAATTCATTTAATTTTTATTCTCATAAAATAATAAATTGCATGTAATTTTTACCATTATATAACTTCTTTGAGTGATTACTTCATTCACGTCATTATTTATATAACAATGATATTTTCCTTCATGTTTAAAACTGAACTGTTTTATCTAAAACATTTTTTTGCTATTATATAATCTTTTAGCATTAATATTATGTGTACTTACGTGCAATACATTGGATATTTCTCCTTCTAATTTTATATTATCTCTAAACCATTGATAATGTGGTTCTGGATGACCTTGTGCTATACATTTAATTATAAAATCTTCACCTTCCTTAAGCTCTAAGAAAGCAGGTGGTTGTTGCTGTATAACTACAGGTACGCGAGATAAATTTACAAAAACTGATTTCGTTAGCAATATAGATATTACTATCTCTCCGTCACTTGTGATTTGTGAGATTTTGCAATTGTATTCTCCAGCTTGATCGCAACTGTAAGAAATTATGTACATAATTATAGTTATATCACATGTCACAAATTGAGACAATATTTTTACCTATTTATAACAATGTCAAGTTCACAACTTTGCTGTTTCTGTAGCTCAATATTATTGTGATACCACTGATAACTCGGCGATGGTATACCCGTAGCTTTGCAAGAAAGACAAAGGTGTTGACCAAGAGATATTTCTAAAGTATCATGTTCTAGATCGTCAGAGGGATGTTTAACAATTACGGATGGCTCTAATAATAATTTTAAAAGTTAGATAATTGTTACGGAGTATTTTATCTACAATATATCAGTTCTGAACTATCGAGAGACAGAGAGATATATACCTGGATAATGTAAGACAGACAAAACATTGCCAAGTTCACAATCTCTGAGCAATGTGCATAATATTCCAACTGTACACATTTTTACATTAAGCTCGAACAGCAGATTGTCTGCTGGCGTTTTTGTAGCGTTGGTATTCTGTTCTAATGACTTTAGCCACGAATTCCTATATGTGACAGATACATAAAGATTTATTAAGAATGTATACTTGATTAATTTTTATCAAAGTTATCCGAATTATTATTCTTTACCATTGGTATCCAAATTGTTCGGCTACGTGACAGGCGAGTATCTGCCAACTTGAGTTCTTATTTAACTCGTGAATTAATTTATTGTACATTCCTGATGGAATACGCTCTAAATATACATCTTCACTGATTTTTGCCATTTTAATATAATTGTATGTATTGATTATTTGTACAATTAAAACGATTAAAATATAATCTTATCGACGTAACGATTTCCTTGCTGTCAAATGGACGTTACTAATTATAGCACGCTTTTTCTTGAATGGGAAAGGAAGGAAATTAATGAATAAACGTCATCATACTTCAGGAAAAATATATTGCATTTATTTTAACTATTTTCTTCACAATTTACTTATCAAGAATACATTGACATTTCATAAAAAGGCACAGAATCTAGCGTTGAGATTTTTTGTTACATTTAATATAATTTTATACATTAATTTTTTTGCATATACGAGTTTTTTAATAAAAATATGGATCTGTCTTTGATAATTGAACTAGTGCACACTTTCTGTACTTAAAGTAAAATAGAAATATATTTGACGTTTGGTGAAAGAAGGAAGGAAAATTCTAGTGCAATCAAGTGGAATAAACTTATTTTTTTTTTTTAGAGACAATAAGTCCGTTCATGTTGCTTGCTCTTTTTGCATTCAGCATCATCGCTTTCTTTCTTTTCAACGTCTAAATATATATTTATCTCATTTCACGTGCAAACATTTTTCAAGCAACGGGAACAGACCTAACCTCAGCGATTGGTTCGTCGGTCGTCCAGCGTTTTTTTTAGTGACAAATTTACCGAGTGCGCAATCGCAAAATTCTCGGCGAGTGACTAGGGAATTTGTTTCTCATTCTTGCGACGAACGATTTCAGAGAAAAATCATAAAGTCCCTGAGATATATATTCGTTAGAGATACGACCGCGAGAGGGCGGCGATCGTCGCGCGGCCAGTCGGCCCGCGAAGTTGCAGCTCCTGCGCAATGCGCGTGGCGCGCTGCGCCGCATGATCTTGCGTATCAGTGTTCGCCAGTGCCATCCGGAAGGCACACGTCGGTTTACGCGTTACGTGAGGAACAGCGCGATAATCATAATCTATACGAGAATCCGCGAGCATTGGTGCGTCGTCTATCGAGGGAAAAAAAAAGCAAGGAAACGGATCGCGAGGACGGCGGACGGTGTTGTTCGGTGACGATAGGGTGGCTGGTGGTCGGCGGTCGCTCAGCGGCGGCGATAGTGGTGGTTGGTGGTGGCGGCGGTGGTGGTGGTGGGTGCTCCGGGTTCCGCGAGTGTCCGCGAAAAACTAGTGCCGCGAGCCATCATGGGGCCGCATTCGAGGCGATCATGAAGGAGGTCTCGAACGTCACAAGCAGAGTAAGGAGATATCAGTATTATCCTTTGGCGTGGGTGGCTCGGTGCCGTGCCGCGATCGCGCCGTGACCCGTCGTGCACTTCCCTCGGCTCAGATGTTAGAACGTAAACAACGGGTGTCCCCTCCGTCATCCCCTTGCCCCAGTCGTTCTCTAGCCTTCTCCGTCTCTCCGATCTCCGTCTCTTCTTTTTATCGTTGCGCTTACCGCGCTGTTCGATCTCCGTGTGTGTGTGTGTGTGTGTGTGTTGTGTGTGTGTGTGTGTGTGTGTGTGCGTGCGCGCGCGCGCGCACGGATGATGTGTGTGTGATTATGTGAGTGTATACATATGCGTGCGTGCGTGCGTGTGTTGCCTGCTTGCCTGCCCTGCCCGCCTGCCTGCCTGCCTGCTTGCCTGTGTATCGGCCGGGTTGCTCCGCGAGCGAGTGTGTGTATGTGTGTGTATGTGCGACTGCTGGTGCAAGTGCATCGCGAGCGCGCGGCCGCATATCCTCGACACGCGTATACCTCGCGGCTCGCAGCTCACGTTACCGCGAGAGCGGTGCACATATACCAACTTACGTCGCGTGGATTTTCCACGCCCGCCCGCGCCGATCCGATCGCGTCTAAAGCGCTCGGAGGCACTTATCGAGGCGCGATTACGCGATGCAGATTAATCTCTCGCGTGCGTGATTAAACAAGCGTCGAAATTCACGCGCGTTTCAACACGCGTGTTTTAACGTGACCAACGATTCCGCTTCAACGATTCTTGGCTCCAAATTTATTTTTGTTTGGCAATTCCGCGTTGTACAATCGGAGCGCGGTGTTTAAATGCCCGTTGGACGGCACGTGGGATTTCAATTTCGATAAAAAAAAAGGGGGGAAAAAAAAGAAAAAAAAAGATAAAAAGATAAAAAACATCGAGAGAGGCGCGTTTCCTCGGGTGATCTCGCGGATGAAGCTTGGCGTTCGTTACGATGCATTCGATTCATTTCGATACGCATGTAAACATTCCGCTCTCTCAATAGCAGCGCCGGCGGCCCTCGAGGTATTTTCAACGGGAGCGTCGGCGAGGTTGGGTCGATGCATTTAGCGTCCTCGAGCGCACCTCCGCATATCCCCGTGCGGTTAAAACCGAGCGCCGGGGAACGTTCTCCAATCGCGTCGAAAAGATAAGGACGTCTCGCGGGACCGTTCGTCGCTATCCGAGTATACCATATCTCGGAGCGAAAATCTTCTGGACAAATAAAACGAGATTGGATCACCGCGCTTTACGCAGAAATTTACTTATTTAGACATCAATACGTGATTGTTTACTACCGGGTTCGGCAAACTACGATTTTTTATTATTATTATTATTGTACTAGTAATAGTAATTACTATAGCTTGAATTTTCTTAATAAGAAATTGTTTTTATCTTATTTGCTATCTTATAAATATTTACATACTTTGAATTTTGTTAATGAAAACTTTGTTCTTTACATCGAGAAGAAATGTATCAAGTTTTAGTAAATAATAATAAATTTAATGATAATAATAATTTTTATAATGAATATCAAATTAAATTGATGATTTTGTACCAAATAAATAAATCTTTATATTTAATAAATAATTAGTTGGTACTATTCAACAAATGATTTATTAAAATTTACATTTTTTCCAGTGCATCTTGTTATATAAATATCTATATAATTTCTTAAATTTTGCCTCTTGATCTAGAAAGTTTAAAAAATATTCAAGCTTGCCGACCTTCGATTTAAGATGAGAATCGCTTAAATTTGATTATCAAATAGCTGTTAACTGTAAGCTTTTAAAGACAATCATCCGTCGTGTCTTATCTATCGATTAAATACAGACCGGGACCGAATTCCGTTAGATTTTACAATGTTTCGTGCACGTTCAAATTTTTCACTCACAGAACTTAGAGTACCGTTCAGATCGACAATCGGAGAATGAAATCCGCTACGGAGAGATAAGAACCTGTTTATCGGAGCGTGGTCCACGGAAAGGCCGATCATTATACCGTGAAAGTCAATACTACGTCGCGTAGCCAACGCTTATAATCGACCAAAGGAATGATCGAGGATCATGAACGCATTTGCGACTAAAATAAAAACTAACCATAGTGTGCTTTCTACAACAAGCCATTGCCTAAGCTTTAAGCCATAAGAAATTGACCAATCACAGTAAAAAAAATGTGAAAAGAATAATCGATTTAATTTAATTGGTAAATTTCTTACGAGTTAAAACTCTGAAAATGTCGTAGAATGTAGAATAAGAATGCGAGGGTGACAGGACGATAAAAGAATCATCAGTCCTGACTACGTAAGTCTCGCAGGAAGGAAGAGAAAACAGCTTGGTTAGCCTGCGGCGATGTCTCACTAATATTTCTGAGTTTTCGTTCGAAGCGCCTAATCTCGCAAGGCTAACCGGTCGGGTAAAGGGAGCTGTAAAGCTCGCTTACGACTACTGCTTTGTTTGCGGTGTGGTTGTCAATGACGGGACCTGCACAGGTGGCCTCGGCGAGCAGCTCGGTGGGTGCTAGTCCCACGGGATCCGGAGTACCGGAGACCCCGCTGTCCGTCAAGAGTGCCGGCGCCAGTCCACCGCAGTCCAGCGGCAAGCATCTGCACATTAACCTGGGAAATCAGTTCAGGGCGGGTGGCTCGCTGCCGAACGTTAACAACAATGTCAATTGCGGCAACGACGCGAAAGAGCACTCCTCGCCGCATCCCGGCGCGATCCACTCGATCGACCTTAAGGTCTGTACTGATCTTGCCCGAACGAAAACATCCCTCAGTTGTTGTTGCCCCCGGCTTGTTGTCTCCCGAACGTTTCGTTGCACCCTCTGGAACGCACCCTCATCTCGTTCCACGGAGAAAAATTCTTCCAAGTCTGCACGTTACGTCGATTCGTTTTGGACATTACATTCAGGCATTCTGCCACACAGGTTTATTTATTCGAATCGAAAAGATCTCGGCGATTGAGAGAGCCAATCTTTGGTTGATGTCAGACTTTGTGATATTTCGAAATCGGGAATCGAAAAGTAAGGATTTAAATTGTTACGCTCAAAGTGCAATGAAATTCGATCTTGATAGTTTTGATCCATTTTAGATGAACGCAATGCTTTTTGATTGCAAAGTTTTTCGAAACTGAAATTCTTTCTTGCATAAAATTGATTTTTGAAATCACGTTATTTTAAACTAATAACTTTATCATGTGTTTTGCGACGAAACTCATAACTTATCATTATTTTGAAACTTTTAATGAAAGCTTCTTTTAAATCAGCACAAAATGAAAGACTTTTCTCCGTGTTTTTAAGGGTCGTTCCGCACTGCAGATATTTTACAATTCGCTTTTTTTTCCGCACTAGGTTCTAGTGGAAGTACGAAATTTATTTCGGATAATACAGTATAATGTCTTGCTGTTTTATTTTACTCGTATATGAAATAGGAAATGTATTGATAAGTATTGTTGACGTTGCACATCACTGAACGCAGTAGGAGTTGTATCGACTGGTATCGATCGTAACAATTTTCTTTTCGTAATGATCTTCCCCTTTTTCTTTTTGCAACGTCTTTACACAGCAATGAAATTGCATGGCACGTACGCAATAGCACGAATTAGAGATATTCCCGATTGCATTGAACACTATAAATGTAGTTGTGTAGTCGATTATTTTTTAGTAGCAATTAAATTGAAATCCTGCGGTGATGAACAAAATAATTGAAATCGCAAAATAATTAGAATTATAACAACACGTATGGTAAATTCGATGTGATTATGCTACGTTAATTGCGTCTTGCAGGTAAACGATGCATACATTTTCGCTCGTGTTATACTAAAAAGAATGACTGAAGGTTTTATCCTGTATTTTGAACTCTGTGACCTTTGTCTCATGTCTGTATTGTAGTTGCAGTGTATACATTCGATAGACAATGAAGAACTATTTTATGAAACTTTGTAAATCAACATAAATTCCATGCAGAAAAACTTTTATGGAAATGACCAAGTCCAGTCATTAATGATTCTGTATATTCATGCATAATTATTATTATATTCATGCAAATATCTGCTTCCGAGGGATTTACAGAATGACGTAGATAGTCACGAAATCGTGACAATAAATTATAGCGGAAGTTTTAACGAATGTAAATCAATCGTCAAATTTCAAGCAACTTATAATAAGATTTATTAGCAAATTGATTAATGATTTATATGAGCAAGAGAGTGTCTAGCCAATAAGTGTGTGTTTTTTTTTAATGTTGCGTGAAAAATTTTGCAAAATAATTTCATTTAGTTTTGACGTTATTTTCAAAGTTCATAGCAAAATGTACTTGCATTAGTAGCTGTGCGTTATCCGAAGCAATAATTAAATTTTCTGGATGAAGTTTTCTCGTACCCAGATGGACTGAGAAAATTACGCGATGTCATTTCAGATAGAGATCCAATGATGAAATTACACAACTTTTTTTCCACATTGATGGAAAAAATGCTGGTTGTCGTATCGTAAAACCAAAGTGTAGGAAAATTCACGACTACAGACCGTAATTATGTGTACACGTAAACAAGTAATTAATTTACATGCGGAACTTTCGGAAATGTATAAGCTGTTATATAAAAACGCATATACTTAAAATATATGATTGTCGAAATTATGGCACACTATCAGGCAAGGAAATCCCTGTCGTACATAATTAAAGGATTCGCTGTCAGACATATGAATAAGTTCGTAATTTATAAAGTCAACTTCAAGCATACAGTTTTACTTCTAAAATAGACTTATGGACTTACCTCATTTTTATACACTGGGGATCCTTCAGTTTTACTGAACTGACAGTGATTTCTATGACTTCCTTCGATGTTTTACTTCACAATATTTTCTTTAATAAATATTTTCTCTGGAGAAACTACTGTACCTAATTAACTTTGCTATATAATTTACTCTTTGTAACGAATCCTTTTTAATTAATTTGACACACCCCGCTTCACCCTACACGCGATTCTGCGAACAATGAGAAAGTCAAATGGCACTGGAATCAAAGGCGAATAAAATTATAAAAAATTATTTAATTAAACATGGACTCACAAATATCTCGTGATTATGCATCGATATCTCATACCCCTCCCTTTAATTTGCTTGGATTTGATTTAATTTCAATGCATATTTATATCTTGGCCAATATTTTAATATCAAACATTAATATTTTCTATTAATTTTATTCATGTTAGATCGCACAGCGTGTTCATAATAATTACTATTATTATTATTATACAAATCACATTTTTGAAATTTACGTAATTCCTATATCCCTATATGCTACTTTTTTGTTCTTTATTATTCTTCACGAACGAATTGTTTTACTTCGTAAAGTTATGCGCGGGATATATTGGAGAACATCGTCGCATGTGCTTGTGAAGCAAATTCTTCTCCCATATGTGTCGAATTAAACCATAAACCACAACTGTAACAAAATACATTTACATGAATTAATTTATTAACGGGAAACAAGTATAAAAAGGATTTTACCGACAATGTCGATTTAACCGCACGAAAAAATATACTCTTTTACAGTAATGATAACGATAATGTTGAATAAAAAAATAAAATGTTTAATTACAATATTTTATTAAGAGTTACTGACTTGAAACAATGAATCTATTTACCTCTGGTACAGTTCCTTGGACGCATTTCGCCACTTCGTAGATTTTTTCGCATGCATCCGCACCGTCTGAAACATTAACCGAATCAGAGCGGGGAGTTGATGAAATAATAATGAAACAATTATAAAAAAATGCATTTTGCTCACACAACGTACCTTGCTTAGCGCATTTGTTCAAAATTTTGTTACCTATCTCTTGAAATTGTTCTGGAATAACGCTTATCAGCATGTCAGCTTCCAAATTACCTTCTTCATCGACCTAATCGACCGGCGAAAAATCATTTCGATCAGTTTTGCATTCGTCGTGTGTAATAAATAAGCGTAATAATATCTATAAGAAATGTTACCAAACTAAAGGCATCGAGAAGGCAGTTCATGTAGCACGTTATACTCCGGTCATTCGAGAGCTTGCCATCGTTAACTTCATCGATAAGCACTGCATCGCGAAATTGAAATATCCGTATTAATGCGTATTATAAATGCGAGGAGGATGAAAACTTTTTGATTGACAGATGGATCGCTCTTGTAATAGACTTTCTTCCGAAATGACTAGGAATGACTATGTTTTACTTTGGGGGCTTTAAACGGTTATGGAAAGCAATTTATATAATAGCGCGGGATTATTGGCCGCATGTTGATCGTGCTATTAATTGCGGTGCTCACCTTGAGACGTTCCGTGTTCGGCCATGCACCGTTCCTTGTCAGCTTGAACCATCTCCAACATTTCCGCGGGGATCCAGTCAGGTGGCTACGCAAAATCAGAATTTATTACGAGCGCGTCGCAGTGGGTATTCTCGTGTGTCGGACTTTAGCACCATTCTCGACAGGTCGCGCGCGCGCGCACGTTCACGTGAATCGCACATCACAATGCGTACAGTGGGTCACTGTCGATTATTGTCCCTATTGTACGTGAGGATCTGGATCGCGTTTAACGAAAGTAAGCTGAAGGGCTTACCCCGGCGGACGCGTAAATCGCCTGTAGCAACACTACGCCGAGGATCACTGACACGTGCATTGTCGTACGTTTGCTTGTTCGCTCGCTCGCTCGCTTGAACCTCGATATGTCACTTTTCAAAGGCAAAATGTACCATCCGCGCTGGTTACGCGCTGTTTTTATAACGCCGCGACGACGGGATGTGGGCGTGCTTGACAGAGGGCTAATGCTATATCCTTCACTTACTGATTGAGGCTCTTCGTCGTTAAGTCGCCGGTTAAAACCCCAGCTAATTTTCGACTCTTAACGGAAGCGTGCATAGCGCTCAATTATATGTGTCCGCGACCTTGTATGTATCCTGCATATGCATATACATTTATACAAACGTACGTTCATTGTAGTGCGTGGAACTTTTTCATTCAGTGTACATGGAATCGACTAAAGCTAGGGAAGTGATTGTTTTCCTCTCATTTTATACTCAATGATAATACTGTCGAATAAGACAAATTAAGTAAATTATTTTTATAAAATATTGTCAACTTACGTAAATATTCCAATATGATTCGTTAAATAACGTAATATATCTTTTATAGAAATATTTAATTTAAAAAAAAAAATCATCTTTAAAAGAGAAAAAAATAGTCTCTATTGGGATAGACATATTCTTATTGATCTTTCTCTATTTCTAATTTTTTATGGAAATTATAAAATTACACTTCAAATATTTACTTTAAGCTGAATAACGGGAAGCTCTTAATATACGTAATTAACTCCATTGAACCTAAGCCGGAGACGGACGCTTATTCGGTTCAACGCACGACCCTATGGTGTTTTCAATTCCGACATATTTACTGTCAGAATTAATTATGTATATCTCAAGCTTTGGATATTCTGTTTCCCAACAATTCAATTTGCATGCCTCTGTATTCGAATTTATCATTGTGTTACAAAAGAATTTTTTTTTTGTAGTATATCGTAGCAGAATTATTTGTTTACTAATTCACAATGGGTAATCTTTACTTATTTATAAAAAAAATATTTATACATAATATTATCCATACCTAAACAAAGCATGTCTATTAATAATGCGGAAAACGCTTGCACGAGACGGTGTCGTAATCAGTAAAGATACAATGTATGGAGCGATTACCAAATTACCTCTGAATTGTAAAAATCATCGTCAACATCGTGAAATTACTAGGTACGATAATAACTGAAAATTGGCTAATTTTGTCGTTTTACATCCGAGGTAAAAGGAAAAAAAAAAAGATAAAAAGATCTTGTATTAACTGTGCCCGTATTTGTGATGCACTAATTTGATATTTCCGATCATATTACCACCATCATAATAACTTGGAATTGTACATCAAACTTTGTATTGTACGATTGTTGCAATTTGTCAATGAATATAATTGTTTGCTTATAGGAAGCTGCAATATGTAACGCTGCCGGAGGTAATAAACAAAGGGAATTCGTATTTCAGTTTACAGTATACGCGCGTAGAGCACGTATCACGTATCACTCCATAACGAAGCAATTAAATCGTAGAACGAAATGTAATATCGAAACCGCGTCATATACCGCGTTATTATTAACGTTTGCGACATTTGTAAGTCTTTGCGAGGCGAGGGCAAAAGACAGCATTCTCAAATTTAACATTAAATCAAATCGATGAACTCGTCTGATTGACATTCTATTGTGCGTTGTTTTCCGTCTACTAACAATCATTGAAAATTAATTAGATTACAGATATAACGTAATTCGATTGATGGTGCGTTTAGACAGTCGAAACGTTTTGTGGGTTTACGCAAGTTAAAGAATTACGTTATCGAGAGAAAAAAAACATTTAGAATGTGAAATAATACGAAATAATAAGAATGTAATTCCGACAAATAACTTTTTTATGGATATCAATAACGTCAAATAACTTTTTTTTTTATGGATATCATTAACGAGATCTGTAAGCATTCCCTTGAATCAATTTTCTTTAGTGTTTCATCTGAAACTTAGATGAGCGCAAAATTGTACGTCATTCAGACATAGACGGTTAACTTCTTTTGGTATTTTAGCTAAAAAACTTATACGATACGTATCGTAAAATTGTATGTAATTCGGAATAATGTAAAGCCGCGTTTCCTCGTAGCGACAGACCTTGTAAGTTTCCTGAATAAGTGATACTTTGTAAGCTGTCTTATAGCTTAGCGCGAAATTGATCGATCACACAGGACAATGGGAAATCATTGTGTTTAGTCTAGGAGTATCACAATGCCGCGAAGAGCTACGTGCTTATTAATACACTTCGACCTTGATGCAGAGCTTGGTTTGAGGGTAAAACGAGTCCTATGATACCGCTTATATCCCGCGCAAGTTTCTATTAACAGTTGGTGCGACAAATTGTCGGCATACGATCTATTCTAATATCCGATTATTCCAAGTCTACGTGCCGTATCAAAATCTTCCAAATTGGACACAGCAGGAAAAGCAGCTTTGCAACTGTTGTTAGATTCTTTAATACAATTGATTTATACAATTACAGAGTTGCCACAGACCTGGAAAACCGGGAAAACTGGGAAAAGTCAAGGAAATTGAAATTAGTCATGGAAATCGGGAAAAGTTAGCGGAAAATGTAAAAAAGTCTGAAATTTCAAAATTTGTTCACAATTTCTTTAAACTGTTCCTACTTCAAATAATTGTTATAATTTTTTAAATATCATATCTGACGTTTATAGTTGAAAACTTGCGCACTTGATAAATAACGATTTTAACAAAATAATTCAAATTTATATTTTATTCAATATTTTTATTTAATTCCTCTTTTTCGTCGTAACTGCATTCTTTTTTTCAAAACTAATTAATTTTTTGTTGGCACCCAAAATTTTATTACGCTATTAAGCTTTTTTTTACGTTTTTAATAGTATAGCTTTCCTACAATCCTCGCGTCTAGATGTTAAAATTTACACATTTTATATTAGTCATGGAAAATTTTCCATTTTCACCTGGAAAACGTGGAAAAGTCAGGGAATTTTTAAATTCATTTTCTGTGGCAACCCTGATTTAGATCGGATAAGGAACTAAAGGACCAAATATTAAAGAACTTTACAATAGCTTGTGCAGAGCTACTTTTTCCGTTCAACGCAACTATTACCAATTCCGACAAGACGGTCACTGCTCTTCTCTCTCGAACGCGATATATTCAAGTGTGTATAAAGAATCGCTCGCGATTAACAAAAAACCCGGATACATCGCCACCTAGTCAAGGTCGAACTTCGATCGCGAAGAAAATACATCGAGGCGGTCTTATCTCGGGCAGTCTATCTCTTTTCGGACGTCAAGAGATCTGCGATCGGGGTCAAGAGATCCCTCCCAGGTCCTTACCCCGTCGTTCGATCATTCGTTGCGCGATCTCTCTCTCGAGGCCTCCTGTCGTCGCGATTGCATTCGCGTCGTCGTCTTCTCGCTCGTCCAACTTTCTCGCGCGCACACGAATCGATCGAATTTCCGGCGGATTTCTGCTCCTGCGCACGTGCCGTGGCGCACCTATCCGCCGTTCATGTCGCCGCGAAGAGAACCTCGGTCTAGCTTTGCGCTCCGATCTCTGTCGGCGCAATCTCAATTGAATGGCAGCCCCGTGGGCGATAAGGCGTTACGTACAAGCCTTCATTCTCGGGATAATATAAATAGCAAGCTCGGAATAATATCGCCGTAACTTAATTCCATTTCATTTCGGTACTACTACGTATCTAACATCCCTATTCAAATGCTCGTACAAACTAAACTAAAAACTGTTCTAATTTCAATGAGCGTGGAATGGGAAAGATGGCTGGAAATATCAGTGTATCGACTGGAAGGAGTACAAAAGATTATTTTACAATCAAAAACTGGGTTCAAATTGGCCGTTATTTGCAAAGTAACTTTGTAGTTTTTTTTTTTTTTTTTTCCCAACAAAAAGACTTGAACTTGAAAGAAGATCGTTTTGCTTCTTCGATCATAGAGCGTTCAGAACGAGTCGAGTTTAAAATACGAAAAAGGATATTTCCTCTAACGGATGCGAGTAACTACGCAAGCTCCGGGAGCACGGCGGAAAACAAACGCCACCACCGCGTACACGTGCTTCGGGGCAAGTGTGTGCACTCGCAAACGGAATATTGATCGCGTTACTCTCTCGTGCAGGTACTCCACCAGTTTCATTCGTTCCCGGCGTGCCGATTGTTACGGTTACGGCCGCAGCTGCACCCCCAGCCTCGTCCGTCGCGAAATTTTACGCGGGAACGTCAATACTGTTTTCTCGCAGAGATACGTAGCAGCGCTTTGCAAAAACGGAATCTGCATCCTTTGATCCGCCCGCTTGCAGCTCACGACACGACAATCGATTTCCGAGGATAACGCTTGTTTCGCATTGAGATTCCCGGGGATTACGCCCGAGTGTATTAACGAAGCAATCTCTTTAAAAGAGCTCGCTATATAGAAACTTGTTGTTTCCTGTTTCTTTGCTTTATCCATGATGACAGAGTTTATGAATAGTCTCTTCATATCGGAGAGTACGAAACGTAAATTGATATTTTGTACGCGATTGGGCGGAATTATCTATGATTCTTGCGGGAAAGCGCGACGAATTCGGAGTCAGAGATGCGTCCCGTTTCTTTCTTATCAGCCTTGAATGGCGATGGGTATCCTTGTTGAAGTGGGTCATCGTCGTCGTCGGGAGTCGGCAGACGGCGGCAAAGCGTCGTGACGACGACCGACGACGACGTATGTGGGTGGAGCGTAGTTGTCATCAGAAGGCAAGGATAGCAACCTAGGTTGTTGGAGTAGAGAACTGCGAGCGAGTAGGAGGTGCGGGAGGTCGTAAAAGGAAGTTTCTTCCGTGACGATCGGTTCCCGACCTTTTTAACGTGTTCCGTATTACTCGTCCCATTCATAAGATGTGTCTTACGCGTCCTTATTTTGCAGGCTAAAATATTTTGCTTTAACTCTGCCTGACTCTCACCCATTAAGATCCATCTTCCATTAACGAAAATTTAATAATTCGCCACCTTCTTCGTCGCTTTTTACGTAGCTCGTGTATTAATCATCCTGTTGATCGAGAGTTCGATTAATATTCCGCGTAAGTTGGTGCCGCCAATTTACATTCAAGCTTAAATCTTGTTTTGCATTTTTATATAGCAGGAATATTTCCGGAGCTGAAATCCAACCTTTAGCGTAACTCTGCCAAAAGTTTGATTATCTTGCGTTACGTAATATTATCCAATAATGCCGAGGGTCTTTGATTTTCTCGTTGAGAAAATCCTTATACGGCGTGATTCGCGCGAGGGAATCTGCTTCGCTCCATAATTTCTCATTCCACTGCACCGTTAGCGATCCGACATCGGACGGTCGACTTGCATAAGAGGTCAAATGAAGATAAAATTACAACCTGGAAAGTGTCATCGGCGTTCGATCGACCGCGGTGTCCTTGAATATCATCTGTGAAAGTCGAAGGACATAAGCTGGATGAATATTTAATAACAGAGCATCGTGGCTCAAGTCCAAATCAAAGTTCATTCAAGTCGGGGAAAAAGTTAAATTTCTCTGCTGTGAAATTTTTTTTTTGCATCAGCATCAATCTCTTCCGCTTTATAACTATGCGAATATTTATTATTTTCGCGTAAAATCAATACTTTGTATTAGGATGATAATTTTTCGCTGAGGGTATTTGTTCGTATAGACCCAAGATTTTCCCTCGTATTTCGCTTTTTCTCTTCGTTCGGGTGTAAACCACGCGTATTGACGCGTATTGACGCGTACACGACCTTCGAAAACGGTTCTTTTCCCATAATATTGTACTGAAGAAAAATTTAATAAATTATCGCATCTAAACGCTTAGACAGAGATTGCTCTGAAAACAGACATGCAATTTTCCGATTAAAATTGTGTTTGTATGATTTCTTTCATTTGCGAAAGTGAAGCAAAACATAAAGAACAAATTAATCATAAATATTATTTTATTATTTGTTGCAGAATAGAATTATTCTGCACAAATTGATAACGATAAATTTTATAATTATTTCCATAAATTTAAATATATTAAATCCACGAGATACATTTTTAAATATATCTCTTTTTATGTAAATATTTATATAGTATTTTTCAACGAGAGAAAAGATAGATCAATGTGGGCGCAAATATAAGACGCATGGTTAATAGAAAGTTGTTATAATAAAACGACTAAAAGATATAAATGATTAGTAGAAAGTTGCCAAGTTTCGCGTTGAAAACTTGTTCCGCTTTGAGATCAGAGATCTGGATTTCCATGTGAATATTACACAAGGCAGGACCTATCTTTTGGGAAATTTTTGCAAAAATCTTTCGAGGTGAACTCTTATTATCATTCGGATAGAATCTTTTTCATGTCTTTTAATCTTGTCGTATCACCAGATTAGGAATAAATTTAAATTCACATAGTGCTCTGCATTTCGCGATGCGATTGGATGCGAACGATATGTTGCAGGCGCACGTGTGCGCTACTACTTTGACAGATCCACTCTCTGGTAATATCATTCTTGAATATGGATATCGTAGTAATTACATTCTGGTCTCTTCATGGCGAGACGTGAAACACAGGAGGGAATCGGCTGGCGGCGACGCGACGTATGTAACATCGATCGCAGCCTTGTAACCCTCAATGTGCTTTGCATCCGTCACACGTTGCTCTCGCGAGACTAATATTGGCCTCGTGTCAGGAAATGCAGGTAAGGAGAGTTGCTCTCGTGTATGTTCATTTTGATCACCGGCACGTGTTGACATGCCGCGAACAGTAGTGGTGACGAGCTTCACCGCGTATTCTCTAATCTATTGAAACTTATTGAGAGAGAAAGAGGGGAAGAGGGGAAGAGAGAGAGAGAGAGAGAGAGAAATATATATGAAGATATTATGAAAACCGCCAGAGCTGTATAACGATAAACTGCTTTAGCCGTCTCACATTGTCTTCAAATGGGTCATTCATTTCTAAACTGGAATGACAACGTTTACAACATTTTATAATCGAGAAATACAACGGCATTCAACAAGAAAATCGCGTCTAAAGGAACGCTAACGTTGTTTGTACCGTTTCTTTCGTCATCAAGGGAAGAGCGAATCGACCTGCTGCTGCACGGAGGCGGTTGATTATTCTCGTTCAACTTTCAGGCGAATATGACGAATGTGGTAAATATGGTTCGTATACGAGGACACGGACATGCCTTTTATTAGCGTCGACATTAATTGAAGGTATGGTTCTTCAACGAGCGCGGCTTGGTCGATGCGCCGCGTCGCGCCGTCTCGTGCGACGCCCACGGCCCTGACATTGGGAAAGTTGTGAATGGGAGACGTCGACCCGCGCGTGGAATCACTATTTTATTTTCAGATTTTTTTATATAATTAGTAAAGTTTTAGTTCTTTCTCTCTCAAGGAGTACTTAAAGATCTGATAGCAGATCTTCGTATTTTCTCAGTATGATTTTAGAAAAAAATTAGCAGATACTTCGTCGCGCGTTTCCATAGAGAAGGACAGTTCTGATAGAAATCTATTCAAATCTTTTCAAATTTAATTAACAAAGAAGAATCTTTTGTTTTAGGTGTTGAAATAGTAGCTCCTCTTTATCGATTCGCGTGGCAGCACGATCGTCGTCATAAATCATACACAAGTTAATAGCATTTTGTGGCTGCTTATAACATCGTTATTTATAATTTTCTGGACGAGGTTTTATCCTAACAAAGGCTTTATATAAAGCCCGGCGTGGCTGGTGCGAGCGTCCACTACGATGCGCGACGGAATATGTTAACGTCTACTATCATCATACGCGCGGACGCGACGAATATCCCGGACACGTGCACGCGTTACGTCTGTGTGCGGTGCTCGTGTGTGCGACGTAAAAAAAGTCGCGGTGAAGTTATTCTTGCATCGTCACTATACCAGACGCCGATACGTTCTGCATATTACATTATGCAAATGGGGTAACGTAGCGTAGTGATGATCCGGTCGTTAAAACTTGTATCGCGGCGCTAGCTTCCTCAAAATACGCTTCGATAAAATCGAATCTATCGCGGGAGTTATCACACGCGTGCTTGCGCGCGTGGTTAAGCTGTTACGTCACCGGCAATTCCAACTACGTGGAACTGTTGCGTCGCATATAAATATCGCTACATGTACTTGCCACGGCGAGTATGAGAATCAAAGGTTTCTCGTAATGAACGAGACGCGCAATCATCAACTTTTTTGTTCATAATCACTTTCGAAATGCAATGATAGATGGAAGAATAGATAATATAAAAAGAAATGCGAGGATTTAGAGCCATGGAAGTGTAATATTAGGCTGTGAGTATGTATAAAGTGATAATATTGTAGAATGAGAAAGATAGAAAGTTAAGACAAAGGAAAGGAAAGAGAAATAGTTAAGGGTGAATAGAAAAATAGGTGGTAGAATATTATATAAGGATCTAGATATAGGTAAACGTGCGTGGGAAGTTTGATGGATGAGTAGGTATTTAGGAATGGTTTTGTAAACCAAGTCCCTTTTTTTTTTGTTGAAGTGAAATAAATTTTTACGTTGTAGACTTTAGTATCAGACTCCTCCTTGCCTTAATAAAATGAACTGCAATATTCACGAACGTTGACATTTTGATAACGGATTTGGACACGGAGTATTCAATAACGTATAGCTCCGATATAAACATCATTATATTCGGTCTTTCTAATATAAATTAAATATTAAATAATGAGAGTTTGATTTCGAATAAAGTTGTGTCACGTTAAATGATTTACTGGGACATCCACTTGAAGTGAATGTCGAAACGCCTTTCGAAACTGATACTGTCGTATGATTAACGAACGGATGATATCGCGCGATTGTCCATGAATCGTCTATAATCGTGGGAGAGACGTTCCGTGTTTATCGCATAATTCAACAGATATTAGGTAATAGCTGTGCGACCCGTGTTTGTCCAACACATGTCGACTAACGCGGCGGGAGCAGATTTCTTTATTAGACACATTCTTGCCGCAGACAGGAAGCTCAAAATCCCACGAGATCGTTTCATCTCCTGGCGCTTATTTTTTTATGAGAATTTAATAGAATTTTTTCAACGATATATGTCTTATAGGAAAGCTCTCTCAAACTTCAATCCAAACATCTTTTAATTGTTAATGATTATTGTTAATTAAGTTTGTTGCTTGTATTATATTATATATATATATATATATCTGTGTAAGATTGCAAAAGATGAAGAGTTTAGAATTAAAGAATAATTTCATCGTCGACAAGATGATTATGAGATGTAGAGAATGTCTCAAATAATCATCTGTGGAAGTTTTTTAAAAGGAAAACACGATGTTATCTGTTCGAGTTAGCGATGTCCAATTTATAGAATGCTTTCTTTTCTTGAGATGTAAAGCAGCGAGATATTCTCAGAAGTGGCTCTTGTTACACATCTCGCTGCGTCTCAAGCGAGAAGCGTAAGGGATAAGAATATTGTAATTGTTTGCTGAAAAACTTAATAATGAAATACGCGACAAAAATAGCCACGATAGAAAGTAGCGAGGTGATAACGTATTCGATATATTGTGACATAAAATTTATGTTATAGTAAAAAACGCGAGATATCGATGAAGCTCAGACGCGTTGAATTTTCTTGTATATAACGCGTTATGAATTTTTTCAGATGAAACATCATGAAATGGATTTCTATAGGTATTCGGGCCATCCAAACTCCCGCATTAAATTGCTTTACGTCATTTTAATCGCCACTCATAACGTCGACGACGATGGCGGGGGTTGTAAAGCAGACGAGACGTTTTATGAGGCGGGATTCGCGAAGCGAGAAAATTCTTCGTCGTCGGTTGAATGGTTTGCCGGTGGTTGGAGAGTTCAGAGACCGGGTTTTGCCACCAAAGCACGTAGATAGAAGCGAATTATTTTGCTTCGACCTCGACTGCTTCCTCCCTCTCACATATAAAGCACGTGAATGTGTCTTCGTAATGATTCCTCTCAGGTGCACTGTATAATTTGGAATGTAATTCGTCGGAATTCTATTTTATCAGTGATATGATTCACAGCGCTCGTTAATTATCACTACTCGCTCTTATTTCCCGGAGCATTGATATCTCCAGTCGTCTTGCTCGCATTTGGCTTGAAAATCAAATCGGACACGAGCAGCACTTACAATCGTTTTTTTTTTTCGTATACAAGGAGCTAAAGTTATTTTATCGCATTAAAATTTTACAAAAAAGACATTTATATCTCATGCAGTATATGTACTTATTGATTACGAAAATATTATATAAAGAAAGCAAGGAAAGAACGGATTTTGTTGAAGTATTTAAAAATTAAGCTAAGTATAAATCTATAAATAACTTAATTAAACTATTAAAGTAATTATGTAGGACGTTCAAATTAATTGCTAAAATGTCAAAACTTTTTACAGCATTGCTTATTATGCTTGAGATTCTTACGTAATTATTTTGATGGTGCAAAACAGTTATTTTCTGATCTACATTTAGCTAGATTTTTAAATACAGCTTCAGCAAAATCATTCTTTCCGTAACATATTCTTGGATTATAAAAATATATATTCTCAGTGGTTATTTCTATTGAAACAAAAATAAATATGTAAGAAACTCAAACATGAAACGATACTGCAAAAAATTTTCTACAACTAACTTGCGCGTTTACATAATTAATTTGATAGTCCAATAAAATTATTTTCAGATGTATTTAGCTTTAGATACTTCAACAAAACTGTTTTGTTTTTTTTTTGTATAGTTGCACAAAAAGTTACTCCACAATAAAGGCACAGCATTGCTCGTTACCGCACAATTCGCAAACGTTTCTCTTACCATTAATTTACATTGTAATCTTTGCACGCTGTTACATCGCCGCAATGGCAATTGTAATCCTCAAGGAGGATTTGTGCGTTTTTTGCAGACGGCGCTCAGCAATCTGGAGGAGATGCAGCACAACGCCATGTACCGTAGCGACAACAGAAGCCGAAGCATGGGGGTGGGACCTATGCGATCTCGACCGATGGAAAAAAGGCACGACACGTCACCGTACAGCGGCGTGCCTTACCTGTCGCCACCGCCACCGGATACCTGGCGGAGAACAAACTCGGACTCCGCTTTGCATCAGAGCGCCAACGAGGCTTGCCAATCAACCTCTGCCATACCTCATCGACGAGGTAGCGACGCGTGTCGGTTTTACTCTTTTCTTTTTTTTTTTTTATTTATCATAGGTAAACCTGTTTTCACCAGTATATTCCTGGATGACCCCATGACGCGAGCTTTCTCTCAACGGATGCTGAGTGAAAGACTGCGAGTTATGGAACCTTACGCAATAGAAGGTTTCGTCAAAATGTTTACTACGTGCTGTTATCCACGCATTGAGAAAAGTTTCTGGATGAAAATGGACAAAAAAATTCTGATCACATTAATCAGAATTTTGATCATCCATAATTGGACATCTGGTTATTTCAAATTAAAATTTCGATTGATATGATCGGAAACTTCTGATTTGTCCATTTTTAATCAGAAATTTTTCTCAGTGCGGTAATTAATGTCTATATTTGTGTTTTTTTCAAGTTTCTTTATTATAAATAAAAACAGAACTATTTACTCCAATTCATATCGAGTATAACATTGAGATATGTGTCTACTCTATTTAAACTTTGTCATAAGTATTACATTTTTTTAAAAGCATTTCTAGCAGATCTACTGCAGTTAATCAAGAGAAGGACGATTAATCAAATATCTTGCGTAAAACTCATCATTTCACACGTAAACATTATTTCGTCAACCGTTAATAATTTAAACGAGGCTAAAATGATACGTCGTGCAATTTACGTGATTTATTTCGCGTGAAAATGAAATTATGTTTTTACTCCCTCGACATTTAACAATTCAAGCGTGATCGAGTATTCGCATGGGTGAATGACACAGTTTTTCAGCGTCGTTTGGACGCTACATTAATGAGTTCATTCTATATAAAACGCTCTTCGCGAAGCTGCTTCTTTGACTTTTGACGCTATTTTGCGAATCAGCCCAGCTCGGAAATTCCGTCATTACCATATTGCCTCGTTACCTCGTTATATCGCGACACCGCTCCTTCGTTCCTTTACAAGTGGTTACCTAGAGAATTTTACAAAGAGATTGATCTCTCAGACCTTACACGCTCGCCTCTGAAATGCATGCGGTTTATAATCTACCCGTTAAAGGCTTTCACAATTCCAAACTGTGAACCTAGAATTCTCGGGATTTTACATCTTGCAGCATTCGCGAAACTAATTAGATGCTTTTACTATACGCCGATTATAAAGTTTATACAATTTAAACAAGAAATCGATCCTCTCCCGAGACAAAGTTCGCAAAGTTCTTCGTGCACATGTGACATGCAAAGTCTTCGGAGCAATAACATGGTACAGTTTTGATATAAATTATCCTTAGATTAAATCACGAAACTTTCCAGAGCGAACTTTCTTGTGCTAGAGATCAGTGTACAACGAAACATATGAAATGTTATACGATAGTAACGTTAGTAAGCGGTATAACGTTGCTCCGGAGAAATCGGATAACTAGTTTGAGAAACTTCATGCATTCTGTACAACCGTAACGGAAGATGCTGTATCAAAATGATATTTTATATTCAGCATCGCGCAAGCAAAATATTGTCTGGAATAAGAGAAATCACGTTAACACATATCGGCTTTACGACGTTATGTATAATTTCGAAACTTGATAAATCGCGCATTCTGAAATTAACAGATCAACACGCTATGACCGGAAGTGGAAATGACAACAGAGATTCTCATCATAGTTTCATCGAACGACCAAGATCCTCGTGCGAAATGCCTAGAGTGCCTGGGATTAAGTACGTATTGTTGAATGATAAGAAATCAATAGCATTGATTACTTTAACTATTAAAACGTGCTAAATTAAAAAAATTATTTCATTCACATTTTCATGTGAACAGAGAAAATGTCTCTTCTAATTTGTTTCACGATTCAGTTTTATGACTTTTGCTGACTGAGCAGATGGAATTACATCCAATAAAAACTTTCATTTGATTGCGTTGCGAATTAATTGAGTTAGTCACAATTTTCGTGAACTTTTTTCTTCAGTATATACCCGAGCTCGCAACCACCGGGACAGCAAATACCTATAGGCAACAACACAGGGTCGTTGCCCGACTTGAGCAACGTACACTTTCCGTCGCCACTCCACACTCCTCTGGACCAGGAGGATCATTCGAGTAGTACGCCGTTCAGCAATGTAAGTTGTTCAACTGATTATCGTACATCGATTATGATAATATTTTCTCTTTTCATTTCTCTTGATATTATACGCACTTTTCGCGAGGCTGCACGTTTCTGAACGAGTCTTAATCGCTTTACAGCGACGTTTAATTTTTTTAAATATTTTTTATTCTCTCACCTGTCTTTGATCCTCGGAAAAAATGTCTGTAAAATGGTATTCAAAATTATAGAACTTTATATGATAGTTTGAATGTTATGTTACGATAAATTTATTATTGTCTTGTGCTATCAGATATGTTTCTTTCAGCGATTTTTGTATTAAATGAAAAACGAAAGACAATTATGTTTATTGCTACAATCGCCAATAGGTTCTATAAATAAGATGTTGCTCATTGTTATTCAACGGATAATTTAATCCATCCGGTCTACAGTAAAATCTCGATATTTCACCAGTTAAACTTTAGATGTACTGATATCAATTAGAATTGATTCTCTTTCAACTTAGATTACTGTGGTGAATAAAAGATTGATATTTAAAACATTTTAAATTTATTTAATTACTAATTTTTTTAATGAGTCAAGATTTTATCTTAACAAAAATTTATTGTTTTTAGATTATATCTCTATTTAAATATAGATATATAGTAATTATCTAGTATCTGTGGCTGAAAGACGATCTGATAAGTTTGCATAAAAATTGTGCATAATAATATAAATGTTATTTATGGAGGAAATGCATTTATTTTTTAAAAGAGCGGCTTTCGTCGATATCGATGTGAAGTAATTTATTTCTACTTTCGAGCGAATTGAAATTGGTTAACTAACTTAATGTTTTACAATTGATGCGGCCGACGAAAGAATATTCAATTAAAGGCAGATAAAAGGCAAATGTCGATATCGAAATTGTTCGTTCGCGTTTTTCTCATCGGTTTCTTGTTTTTCCAACAATCGCCGTTCATCTTATATATTTTTTATCGCTCGTACGAGCGAAGTCGTCGAGCCACGTACAGACAAGCTGTAGACAAGTAGGATTTACCACTGAAAGCGGGAAATCTTTTTGAAATGGTCGAACCGCTGATACATTCCAGAGTCCTCAAACGAGCAGTCCCACAAACCTGTCCAGTCCGACCAGCTTGGCACAAGCTGGTAGGCTCTCCTTTTCACAGGATCCGTCAAGCGTCCAAGTAAATATCCTCGCGGCCCCATATTACTTGTAGATTGTGCCTATTGTTATAGCGCAGCGGATTTTTAATTACGAGTGACACGAATCTAATAATTTTTTTCTGAAATTTACTTATTTATCTAAAGAGCTCGATGCACGAGCTTCTGTTATAAAGATTTCCCAATCATAATACGTAGATCTCGGTTAAGAGCCTCGCTGTCGTAGAATGTTGTAAAACGTGCGAAATATCTGAAAATGGTTTGAACCGACTTGAAGAAGTCGGTTATCTTGGGATTTTTTAAAACCAGTTTATGAAACTTTTTTGGGGTCACGTCCCAAGAAATTTAATTAAGTTTACATCGCGATACAATATCGAATGCTCAGATATTTCGCATTTTCACTGGCAGATTACGAATCGAGGAAAACACATTTTTAATCTAAATCCACAATAGACAAAAAACTTGTGTGATATATGCATAGTATACATGCATAGTATATATATGCTTGAAATCTAAATTAACGGAACGTATGTGAATAAATTTGAAAGTCAAATGTATAGTTTAAGGAAACAATCGCTAAAAATGTTACCTCGATTCCGTAAAACGATTTTGTTTATTGGAGAATGTAAATTAGGATGCGATGGTTGCATGCAAAGAACACTCTTTGTGCTTTTCTGTGCTTTCTTAAATGTTAGATCGTTTCAATTAGAGTAGCGCTAGAATCTTGAGGTATTGCAGCTGCTTTCAGGAAGAAGATATAAGTAGTTCGTTTATTTGACGCAGAGCTAACGACACAGATTGCGCAGTGAAAAAAGAAAATTTAAGAAATATTATCTATCACGAGAGAAGCGGATACATTCCAGATGTTACGTAAACGTGAAGAATTTCTAGCAACAATTTTCGCATGTAATTGGATTGCTTTCATGCTAATTCAGTAATGTTTGAAAACGCCATTGCTTTAATTAGAAAAAGATTTAAGCATCTTTCACGAAAAGCAATTTTTCTCGGCATGCTCTCTCGATGTTCGAGTATACAAATTCCATCGTAGTTGAATATCAACTTTTCTTTTTTCTTCTAGCGTAATTTTCTATGGTTAACATAACAAGGATATAATGTTGCGCGCAATTATGCAGCGTTAAGTTCGAAATGAAACTTTTGCAGCACGCTATGGAAAGCACTTGTGACCTAAATGCGTCCTGACATTATTAATATAGAATTTAATAACATTTATCGAGCTCGTTCGATAATTCTGATCGTTAAACCGTACTGTAAACGCGAAATGAATTACTCGAGGAAACTACGTCTCGTTGGCGCGACATATTTTTAATGAAAAAGAAAAATCCGGGCTTTTTAATACGGTTGTTTTCATTTGTTAATATCAGGACGTATATTTTAGTGACAGCCAGAAAAATTCGGACGATATTTTCGCGCGTTTATACCGACGTCTGTCTCTCTCTTAATTTTCTATTTATTTTTTATTTTGCCTTTGTTGTAGTGGTTGTTTGTGTTTGTTATTTTGCAGACCCATTTATCAGTGCCTGTTAACTCTAGGTTTCTTCACACGTGTAAGGTTAGTAGACACACCAGTTTCTCGCTCTCACAAAGTATTTAATAAAACGGTATATGCTTATGTTGCTGCCTCTTAGTCGCGCGATGGCCGTTAACATCGTGGCATTTTTATTGTTTTGCTTGTTATATAGCACCGAGCTTGCAGACAGACTCGAAATACAATCAATAACGAAACGTGTGTATGCTAACGCGTAGTGTGTACATATCGGATCGTCGCAACATACATCGGGCTTGAAAACGAAAAGTAATGCCGCGATAATTGCGTTTGGCAGAAAGAACGAAATAGTAGTTTTACGCAATAATAATTCTAAAATGATTTCAGCTTATGCTGAATCATTTATTTCTATGTAGTAACATAATGAACGTCTCATGACGCGCTGCACGATTAACAATCTAAAAATCTTAAAAAGAAGATTCTAAAAGAGACTTGAGATATAACTTCTAGCGACGAACATTTCTTTCGGAATTTTACCACGGACGAAGTCTCTGAACGTTGTATGAAAACAGCCTATGTGCCAAGATATTACCTCTCGACTGCCAAAAACGTAATTCGTAAATATCTGGTACATGGCACACCTTCGAAGTCGATTTCAAATGTTTGCTACAAATTCAGTGGAGCAACACGGTTGTTGCGGCGAACCGCTTCCGCAAGTCCGATGCTGTAATCAATGATGTAGAGATCGATTACGCGAGCCTGCTGCGACTATGTAGCGTCTATTCAGTTGAGTTTAGTTACACGAAAGCGCGAAAAAGAAGAGAGAGAGAGAGAGAGAGAGAGAGAGAGAGAGAGAGAGAGAGAGAGAGAGAGAGAGAGAGAGAGAGAGAGAGAGAGAGAGAGAGAGAGAATATATATTTGTGTGTATGAGAGAGAGAGAAAGAGAGAGCAAAACGAGAGAGGCGACAGAGCGACGATCGATCGTTAATAGCGATGGGTATGAAGCAGGGTGTGGCACTGGAAAACAGCACAAGTACTTCGCAACAGGATCTTCAGAGTTATCCGCAGCAACCGGCGCCGACGGCGACGTCTCATAGCCCGACTGCTGGCCATTACATTTATCAACAACCGCACAGTCCTGTACCGCAAAGTCCAGTTAGTATATGCCAACCGACTAAGTCGGACGTTTCGAAAATTCTTATCATAATGCGTGAATAATATTTATTATCATTGTTATTATTGTTATATAAATATTTACTGTTAAATGCATATTTATAAATTGCTTTTAAATACTTAATTTATTTTCGCATATAGCTTGACATTTAATCAGCTGTGTTGAATACATAAAATACACACTTCTCGAAAAAATTATCGATCAAGGAATAGAAAGTATTAATTCATATAACTCTAATATTATTATATAAATTACACGAGTGATTGTTATTAATTATTATATACTATATGATTATTAACTGGTAATTATCTATTATATCTTATCAATACTTGACAGAAAACGTCACAGCACCAGCACCAGCAACAGCAACATCAGCAATCGCAGCTCAATTCGTTAGGATCGTATAGATCCACGCAGTCGGTGAACAGGCCGTCGCCGCAATCGTCACCTAGTCTAACCGTTCAAGTGAGATCATCTCTTATAAAATATTAATAGATAACAAGTGTTTAATAACGCTCTATTATCATAGCCTTTTATCATAGAGATATAATATTATTGCTAAGATACAATATTTAAATGAAACATTATATAGAATCATCGTTTATATAATAATCTAATAATAATAAGTGCAAAAGATTTATAACGTGAAAGAAGTTCCGTTCTCGTGTCTGTAATAATAGTTTCGTGCAACTAACGAGTTTGAAAGTAGTGCGCATTCCTTTTTCAGGGAAGTCCCTTAAGTTATAGCAATAATCCATCGGCGCCGCCTAGTCCTACAGGACATCCGGGTCCACCCAACTTGACGTCCGATCCTATCGATCAGAATACTTATTTCATCAATCAGGCGCAAGCGGCGGCCCTCCAACAGGATTTCGAACAGTTTACAATGGTATGTAAGCTTTTTAATCATGGCTGGAAAAGAGATTGACTTATGCGTTTGAGTTCGCGAAGAGTGTCGCGGGCGGACATATTTCCAAAAAGAGCTCTTAAATTTTGACGTTAAACCGGTTGACCCGAAGTTCCAAAGTAAAATTAAAATATTGGCTTGTTCGACGGTCCATTCAAGTGAAGGAAAGTAAAAGTTTTCCAAACTGTCGGAAATATTCGATTGGCACGTTGGCAATGATCCAGTCATACGTTTGGCATTCTTATTTTTTTTTTTAATCGAAGCTCTATCTTAGACAAGAGGAAATTCAATATATAATTTTTATCTCTTGGGACAGGCAGCCTGTAAATGATAAATTCCGAAATGCGCAAAGTCCGTGAATCCGCACTGCTGTTAGATCTTGTTAATCCGCCTTTCCAGAACATAATATGTACGTGTTAAATGTTTTACGCGGTATATTTCAACATATAATTACATACGGATTTTCGTAGAGAGAAAGAAGAGAGAGAGAGAGAGAGAGAGAGAGAGAGAGAGAGAGAGAGAGAGAGAGTGTGTGTGTGTATGTGTGTGTTCCGCATGCTATTACTTGTACTTAATAGGTATACACGCGCATGACCGTAACATCAGAAATATTCGCGCGTTTCATTTCATTGTTCCCGAAAGGCAATTGATATTTTCAAACGAGAAATCGCCGTAATTAATTTTTTTCATTGCGTTTGTTCGCGCAATGAGAGATACGGACACTAAAAATATAGTTCTTTAATTCCGATCTGAATTCAATCAATGACAGTTATGATTATGTATAACTACAACCAATCCATCAATTATAATTAATTAAGGGATATTCCGATCCTAATTGGCGCTCAATCTTTTTTTATGCATGTCGAAGGGACTGGTAAGTATTGGCCGCTAAATTGCTCGTATCTAATGAATAGTAAAGGTTAAAAATAAAGACAAACAACGAGATTAACAAGTCAAAATTTTGATGAGACACAAATGAAATTACAAAATAGTTCTATTTTAATTTAATTAGCTTTACAGTTTTTAAGTTTAGCCTTAGAATTCCTCATTTAGATACTTTGATTATTAGTGTTTTGTAGTTCTATGCATATATGAATACTCATTTTTTACATGCAAGCTGATTGGTTTTGCGAATTTCAATATATATATAATATGCATTACTCTTCAGGCGATTTGACCTTCAAAGCTGTAATTAATGCTACGCGATGAATTATTCCAAGCGAATGATTCGTATGAATTATTCTGTCGGAATCGCTTGATATTCTACTCAGTTACATCGTCAAACGTTCCGTTCTTCAAAGGCTTTAAATTATGATTTTTTTGATGTTTTTATTGAATGAAATGCATCTGATATGAAATTATAATGATATTATTAATTTACGATTGCATAAAAAAATAGATTTTTTTTAAATATAAAAGTTAGCCTTATAATTATAGCCGGTAAAAAAACGGCTGCATAATTATATTTGATTATATTGCCTCTAGACTTATAGTCTTAAGTCTTGTTGTTTATCTGTTGCCTGCATTCGTCAGGAGTGGCCCAAATTTGCGCAGCAGCTGATGGAACTCGGTTGCACCTGGACCACGCAGATAGAGGTGAAATATCGCCATTAGTAGAAACATTTTTATTTGTAATTTCAATACTGAGAGTATGTCCAACGTTGTGTCGTGGTACGCTTTTTACAAGGCCTGCAAAAAGTTCTTTTTTTTTTTTTGAAAATTAATTGTATGCTATTACATTACATGTATATGTATGTGTTGTATTGTGACTGTTAAAGATCGAATGTAAGAACGTTACTTTCACAATAGGATTTAAATACCTAATGAGTGTATCAAGTTAAAGAAAAAGGCGAATGATTGATAGGATATCTTACAACCTGTTTATTTACAGTGTACAACCTGTTAGTTTATACGTTAAAAAAAGAACGGTGAATTTATATAAGTGCCGTATCTTTCACGGTACTTTCAAACAGCAGAGGTTTGCATATAAACGTGCCAAATGTATTCCCGTGCGTGAAACTTACTTGCACGTGCGGCAAAGGAAAAATATCAGATATCCCAGAAGGGTGAAATATTTGTAGATTAAGGTAAAATATTATACCCGCGATGAAATACCATGCCACTATACATTGCACACTGATGTTTAAAACATTACCCCGATCGAAGACAAGTTTTAAATATGTCGTTAAAAAATCGTAAACGAGAAAAAGTACATAAGGCGGCTTTTATCCGTATCAGGAGGCTAATAATAATCGTAATTTGTAATGTATTCTTGATTGATATTCCGCAAAACTCGGTTACGCGTTGTTACATATGCACGTGCCAAAGTTACCGATGTCGTGCGTGCTGAGCTACAGAACTAGTTTTATCGCGGAGGGCCTTAACGATACCCCTTTTTATTTCCTCGTCGTTACACGCACAAGTAGCCATTACCATTTGATATTGCACGGACAGTTACGCGCTGAGCCATCAGTTTAAGTGGTGGAATAGAAAAGATAATGTTATACGAGATAAAAATCATCATTCAAACTAAACAATCTCATTCACACGGATTATTGTTCGATATTGCCCTTTAATATCGGCATCTGAGAATAAAAGATTTAATAAAAGATTTAACGATAATAATCCATTTTTTTTTCCAAAGAAAGAGTCATGAATTTAGGATAAGTTAAATAAGCATGAATAAATGCGGCCAGCTGGAAACTAGTACGTGAAATAATAGACGTAGGACAAAGCAATAAGTTTATCGTGGATGCTGACTAAGCGAAAACGGATTTCATTTAACAATGGCTATTAAGCGGAACGGAGTATTCGGAAATCGAACAGTAACTAATGTTGTGATAGATTCCGAAGTTGAAGAATGGACGATCTTTAGGCGAGCTTACGAGCTTACAGTTCAATCGTATTTATTTCTCCCTTTATACTCTTCTTCCGCTGTTTTCTCTCCCGCGCGTACGATGTCCCTCGTGGATTATTCTATAAAAAGCATTTGGAGCTGGAGACGCGCGTTACACATGAGAGGAATCAACGTTGTATTCACTTAAAGATGAATCCGATTAGATCGCAACTGCGGTAATTCTTCCGAGGCTTTTCAATGATGCCAGGCTCATCTCTACGACTTTCTTTCTTTTTTTCTCTACTTCAGATGGACACGCCGGTGCAGACGAACACGATTGGGACGTTTATCGGGTCACCAAATCATACTACGAGTTACACGCAGGTGAGAAAATCGATATTTTATTGTAAATTCTGTAAAAGTATTAGGGTGCTTCATTTGTGCGTTTTTGTCGTACAACAAATGTGTGCAAAACAGAAAGATCCTTGGATCTTTCTATCCTATAGCCAATGAACAGACTTGAAAAATTTGTCGTACGACAAAAACATACAAATGAAATGGCATCCTTACGTTAGTAACGAAAAAAATAATTATCACAAAAAATTCATATTAATATACTTTCGCATTGCATTTGTATTGTATATCCTTTATCTTTATTTAATATTCTTTACCTATTCTTTATATTTTAGAACGACGTGATTAATGTCGGCGAATTAGGCAGTGGAGACACGGGATACTTCAGCACGAGTCCACAAATGGCGTATCAACCTACGACGACGACGACCACTGCTACTCAGCAGCTAACACCGCAGACTCCAAATACACCCACAATTATTCTCACAGGTATTATTGTAGATATGTTTTGAGATTTTTTAAATTGCATTTTGTAATAGAAAGCATGAAATTTTATTCATTTTCCATTTTATTCATTTTGATTAAATTATTTCACATTTTTTGACATTTATGAGAAAAATCGTAATCCATGTTATTCAAGATAATTCTCCATTATATATCAATACTTCAATAAACGAATGTAATTCTACACGAAGAAATATTAAACAAGAACAAAATATGTAAATATAGATCGTTTAACCGTTAATCTTTCGAATTATAAAATGTTAAAAAAAATATTCCAAATGCTTAGATATTATAAAACAATAGAGAAATCTCTATAAAAAAATATTGTATTACAGACTTTTCTGGTGCGGATGATCTTACGAATCCGGAATTTGTGAAAGACCTCGGAACGGCAATGATGGGTGATTTTGACCCAGAAATGTTTCCATCGGACGATGCCCTTAGACAGGGCCTTGATCCGATCGATGTGGATGGTCTACAAATGCTGGCTGATCCTACGATGGTTATATCGGACTCCAGCGCCGAAGCCCACTTTAGATTAGATCGACTTTAAGAGAAGAAATTTTACTCATTTACCAACACTCGTGACGACTATTGCGTAGGATAAATTCTGTCCTGGTGTCGTGATTAATTCTTAAGACACTTTGACATATTGGGGTACCACTTCTTGGACACTGGCAGATTTGCAGGGAAACGCGCGTCAATATGTATAAATATTTGTAAATTTTATTTACAGCGTATAAACTTAAATAGATTTATACGCGAATATTTTTATCTCGTTAAAATGCTGTGCATTTTTTAATCTCATCCATATATAATGTCAGATCTGTATTGTTTTTATGGATAGCGTACTTGCGTATCTGAAATATCTTTCGAAATATTTTCTGGAAACAGGTCAGTGGTCAATGAAAGTTGTTTCCCGCTCGTGATAAACTGCTACTTGACGATTAAGTAATATATATGAATCTTTATTAACCCTTTTTTTATTTTACACTACTTTGTACATTGTATCATGTATGATCTCTAAGAAGCACAAAAGAAAAAGGTTTACTGATTTATACATGCTTTTATCATAATGCAATTATAGTGAAGTAATCTACCGTTTAGGCCAATTTAAAGTTAGAAAAGACGATCGATTATGCTTCTCAACGAGGAGTAATTAAAAACGTATAAAGATATAGAAGTGAGAGAGGAGGGAGATGCCTATCGGCGGTACACGCCAACAGCGATTCTAGATTCTTATATTTCCTTTTCCTCATTACATCCTTGCGAGCAACTTACAATCATAAACATTTATATTAATAATACCTAGGTCATACAAATAATTTGTTACTTTTTTCTCTCACTCTTAATATCGCATTCGCATTATGCTATGAATTAGTTTAGGCAATACAGGATTGTATTTGATTATTGAATAAATTTAGGCTTGATTAATATTCAGAGAACATTATTGTCGAATCTGTGATACTGAACTATGAAAAAAATCTAAGAAATTCAAAAGTGATTTTACCAAAGAGACTACATAAAAAGTTTTTCAAGAACGGGTTTTTTACTTTTCAAACATGCACAATCCTGCTATTGATAATCATGTCCACATTTATCACTTTATTTAAAGAATGATTAATTATAATTTCTTTGTTAATTATTAATTGCTTTTCTCATTGCTAAATAAACGCAGTGATAATAACTAGTAGGAAGAAAATATCATATGCGTGTACCCTCGGCGGTTGTCAATTGTTTTTTGAAAGTAATACATTATACTTTATATGCATTCGATAATTAATCGAATGTAAAATTAAGATAATTGTTAATAACTGTGAAATCAAGAAGATGATCCTTATATCTAGACACATTGTAAGTAGCGTACCATATCTTTCTCGATAACATTCAAATTCTTCGTTCTAGTTAAAGACATAATGTAGGCGAATAGTGTTGCGGAATCAGGCTACGGCATATCGAAGAACGCGGATAGAATCTATGGTATAGCGTAGTCTGAATCTTACGGTGCATATTTCAGCACACATACACCTCTTTCACATTATATTAAATAGATTGAAATTTAAACAGACGTAAATCGCAATGAAATCGCTATCGTTAATATCACATTCATATCTTATAAATATAGATCATCCTCTGTCTGCAAAGATGAATAAATATACGGAATGACGCTAAGGAAGCTCTTGTACATACGGAGTGAAAGAGTATGTCTCTTTTTATATTATCACTATTAGACGCTATCAATTGGCGCATGCTTCGTAAAAAAAAATATCACAAGAGCTTCTTTACACAATGAGAAACCCGCAGAGAGTGCATCTTAACGGAAGAAATTTAACAATAATCTTTACATATTTAAAATATGATGTGATCACGAGTTGAAACATTGCTATATCCAAAAATTTATCGTAGTAGATGATTCTCTTCCCGTTTGCTCTCTCTCTCTCTCTCTTTTACTTGCAAAATCTCGTCCGCGTATATGCAAACGCAAGAGGTGCCAAAAGCGCGTAGATATTCGTCATAGATTGTAAGATCGTGCTATCGATTCATAATCGTGCAATATAAACGTTTGTATATGATCGTCGGCCGTTTAACATAAGGTTTAAACCAAGTTAAATGTTAACCAAGATCGTAACGTCAATTTGTCATTGTCATTTTAACCGTAAATACGAAAGGCTTGCAAAGGGGAATATAAATAGCACAGAGATTTTAACTAGAATCTTTGAAAAAGAAAGAGATTTATTCCTGTTATCGTATCTGACATATGTTGCGAAACATACATTACTACCTTTCAATATATTTAAAGCTGCGATATATTCAAAATAAAGATTACGGGTAATGTGTGCAATATATGGCAAAAATCATAGAAAGAAAATGACGTTATTGTATTAATTGTTGTGCTATTAAGCGAATTTAATCAATCTTCAATTAAATTGATATTATTTTTATCGAAATAAAACATTGTAATATGATTGTTAAATAGATAGATGATATAATCTGACAGCGCTAATTTCAGCTCGCATTAATCTTAACGAATGGGAGTATAATTGTAATAGTATCGAGTTATCGGCCTTAAATATCTGAATGAGAACTATGCACGTGCTTTTATATTAAAATCTCTCTTATCGTTGCACAACACTGTTTTCAGATATTATATATTTTTTTCTTACTTATAAAACTTCTGACAAATGTCTTTCCCCTAATAAATATTTGATACATCTCAATCTCGTTTAAAGTAAATATTTAATTCGCAATTATTCGTAAATAATGAACGATGCCTCGATACTAAAACCAATGATATTCTTTTTATAGTTTGACATATACGGCGACCGTGATTGAGAGATATGTGATATCTGGAGATACGTTTTATAGAAAAAGAATTAATTTTTCACAAAAAATATTTAAAAATTTTACAGTTCTGTATACAGATCGTAATACCGAATTTTTTTTGATAATTTGTACAAGCTTGCGAATAAGCTTGATGAAATTCAAAGACAGAATGTAAATGTATAACGAACTTTATATTTTGTTTAGTGTTACATACACAATTCGGATAATGATATAAATTAATTTTCTAAAAACAAATTTCTTTTTTAAAAGTAGAAAGTGAAATGAGATTCTTACTGAATCGTATTTTCTAATTTCAAACAAGATCATGATGATCCAATATAGCACGACCAAAGTATCCTCAGGAAGATTTTACAACTTAAAACGTATAATCTTGCAAATTCGTACGTGTCTTCGCACATACTGCTATGAAACACGTTAAAGCCTCAATCGAAACAAATTTTATGTACTCTGTTTCATTCTATCTTCTATGTGTTTCTAAATTCCAAATCCAGATTTTTTTAAATTTCTAACAGGAAACATTTCTCTTATTTCTTTCTCACACGCAAAAACATATCCCCCCCCCCCCCCTCTCTCTCTCTCTCTCTCTCTCTCTCACTCACGCTCTCTCTCCCTATCTCTCTCTCTCTCTCTCCCTCTGTTTTATCGCATCGAGGAGAGGAGAGACTGGCTTAAGATTAATAAGATCGCAAGCCTGTTGTAATGTGCAATTAAAGAAAATAAAGTAAGCAGCGAATGGAAAAGCGTCGCTGCCTACTCTCGCGCTAGATCGATCGATCGATCCGTGAGGGCTTAATGAAAGAAAATTTGTAATATTTGTATATAGCCATGTTATACTGTGGTAAAAGAAAATTACCTATTATTATAAATAATATTATATATATAAATATATATTATATATATATTATCTATATGTAATACCGTTACGTTGTTGTACTACATTATTGTGAACACCATTTCTCAGACATCGATTTTTTTAAATAAAAAAAAAAAGAGCTCTCTTTCGACACACACTAAATACCAAACCAAATCCGTCACGTTACTTGTCACGCGCGTGGCTCACTCGTGTCGGCTATATGTATACTATGTACATCTTGCAATCGTTGCATTCGTGTATGATATTTGTACGATCGATTCGCGCACCGGTGAATAATCCTTTGAAATGTTTGTTTTGTATATGATTCATATCATACAGAAAAGTTTCTATAGGTATCAAAGAGATTATATACAGCGATTAAAACATTACTCCAAATATTCATTCTCATTCAACTTTCCATTAATTTCTGACCCGTCGTATCTTTAAGTAGCCGATAAGTTTGATAAATGAAGCCGGGGAAGATAAGAGTATCTACGATTTTCTAAGAAAGATCGGTGCCTGAGCGTTTTAGTAACGAGCCTTTTCGTCAGACTGATATTCGTCCTAATCTAATTAACTAACGGTTAGTCAATCGCGACGGATGTTTCGCAAATTGTACAACCTTCGTCGAGATCGTCAAAGCGGAACGATCAATTTGCACGCGATTTTAGCAACGTGTTACGAAAAATCAGTCTGCATTTAAAAAAATGTAATTATCTAAAGTTTTTAAATTATCTAAGATTTTAAATACGTCATTTAGTCACGTAATGGAGTAATATTCAACGACATTGATTTCATTCACGAAATATACAGAATGATTCTACTAAATTTGGATCATAACTATTTTTCTACTTAAAAAGCAAAAACGTCTTGCAAGTGTTTATTAAGCAATAAAAGTTTCATCTATCATTTTTTTTTCTATAACTTAATTTTTGGAAGAGAGTTATAAGTTATAGTCCAATCCACTTACTAAAATCATTTTGTATATTCTGTTTCCAAACGTATCATCTCGATTCGCTTCGCGTTATTTAGATCATATACGATTTCTGTTCGGCATGCAACGATATATTTCGGAAGGAAAAAGAGAGAAGCTCGGATATTTAAAAAAAAAAAAGCAGAAGCGAACACAATCATTCACATATACATATTACACGTACACTCACAGAAAAATATTTCCATCTAGCATCTAAGTTTCCTGGACATTTTCATCGTTCTCGAATCCTCCTAGTCGTCGATGTAAATAATTGTTTTATATTGTTACAAAGTAGACCGATTATGGAACGAGAGGGGCAAATTGTATATTTCGGGATATTACGGACGTGCCGACACGCGGTGCATTATCTCTGTTTACAACGTCCACAATGTAAGCGCACAAAACCGATTAACGATTTATGTGTCTTCTTCGTGTTTAATCGTGACTTTATTAATTAAATCTTGAACGTCTATGAAGCGTCTGTGTTTTTGCCTAGGTACCTCTCTCTCTCTTTATCTCTTTATCTCTTTATCTCAATTGGCGCTAAGAATCAGCCCGGAGAACGGCGGTTATCCGCATAAATTAAATCTACATGTAAAATAAATTATTAATAAAAATCGCAATAAGAAAATACACATTTTTTGCTTTATAAAATAAATAGATAAGATTAGTTAATGTTGCTTCGTTATTCTGTGTATGTGTATTATACTAAAGAATTGTGTATTAACATTTTATGCATCCGACGATAAATATGTTGGAGTATTGTTACGTAATTTAAATCAAGAAAAATCTCTTAATACCGACACAAAAAGCGGAATGAATTCGAAATATCTTTTACCAAACAGTGCTCGGTGCTTTTATAATTTTTATAATTTTTGGGCACAATTTCGGCGGTAAACGATGCTAGAATATTATTATGTAATCTAGATGAACGAAATTTCTTTTTATAAATTATATTTATATAAATTACAAAAGCAGAACAATATTCCAAATACCTTTCTTTTAACATTTTTTTAAATCGTTAATCTTCTTTATATAATTAAATTTAATGATTGATCTAACGACACACGATGTTGAAAAATTGTCACAGTTTAATCAAGAAAGGAAGAAAAAAATCGAATGTGTCTACATATTGAGTCTACATAAAACGCTAGAAAATTTGCCATTTGAGTCGGTTAATTTATTTAATGAATTAATTTATAATATATCTCGCTATTGCGAAGGAAACAATAAATACGAATGGTTGCAATTTGTCACCATATTATTTAGTGAAATGTTATCACATTATCATATGCATGAACTGTTTAAACTAGTATAATAGAATATAATATTGTACTGAATAATAAGTAAATGAAACGTTTTAATATTAGAATAACAATAAGCGTAAACAATTGATTAAATAATAGCACGAATTTGATTACATCATTTAGAAGAAAGTTGGAAATAAATATTTCGATATCATACGAGAAATTGATTCTGCTACTTCCCTGAACTTCGAAAAAAATCATCTTAGTTATTTGATTACATTATTCAAATAAAATATTTAAATAAAAAATTGTTGGAAGCAAAATCCCGTTCCTCTTAGACGCATTTGTTAACGCGCTCAATCCTTCCACAATATTTCAATAAATCTATCTAGTAATATACTCCAATAGTTAATGTTCTAACTTTTGAAATTATTTATGCATATAATACATATATTACGTGGTTCTCAACATGCAAAATGGAAAATAAAAAAATGTTACGAAACGTTATTTTAATTATTCGTTATTATTATTCACATCATAACGATTCATATGTGATAATAAATGTGATAATATTATAATAACGATAGTATTACTAATAATATACTTATGATATTAAATATGATATTTTCTAACAACTATTCTAGTAATTATACTATTCTTTTTCTTATGTAGCAGTAAGTCCTTAGCATATTTCGAAATAGAAATATATACTTATAGCTCCATTTTGATAAACATAGACATATAAAATGTCCAAACGTATGGACAGAATAAGAAAAATTCTTCCTGCTTATTGGATTTAGCAGAGAGAGAGATAAAATAAAAGATATTTTTTTTCTTAATTCCTAACATTAATGTCAGAACTGGCCAATTAACATAACATTTTGCCAAGACAGAATCATTTTACATTTAAATTCAATACTTTAATTATACATCTCAATATGTCTCTGTGACTATCAAAAATGAAGCTGTAAGGTTCTAAAATTGATTTTTATTAGGGCTGTAAAATGTACGAGAATAAAAAAAAGAAATAATAAAAACATTACGTATGAGATTATTTGATCTCTCATTTGCGTACGAATTTGTGCGCAGAATGTAATGATATACGAATAATTTTCGATTTTTTATATCTCGAAATATATTTGAAAAATACTAAAAGCAAACTGCTTCCTATAACAAGCTACAAAAAAATCCTATGACTTAATAGAATAAACAAAAATATCATGTAATACAATAATAACTGTAACTTAAAATTACTAAAACACTACTTATAATTTCGCGACTTAAAATTCTAAAGTGTAAGTTTAAAACTATACAGTCTTTTTTGGTAAAACTTTATATATACATTATAATATATATATATATAGAGAGAACCTAGGAATCTCTCAGAGTTTCTATTCTCTGAAAAATTGTACGATTTGATAATATCTTCGCATCTTGGTTCTTTAACAGCCTTGCGATAAATTCTCGCTATTATTTTACCATTGTTTCAATTTATAATACGTTTGCTAAATACATACTGCAATGACCATGACTAAGAATCTTTTATTTGTATTTAACATGTATTATATAAATCTTGTGGGAATTATTTTTTATAAGATATTCTAGCACGTACATATACAAACGTTATGCATCGAATAATGCCAAATATGTAGACAGAATTCACATATTTCTATCATTGAATTGTATTTCTCTCGGTGCGCTATCTTTATGATGAATTAGATGACCTTTATAACTATTTTTAATATAACTAATAATTTTATCCTAATAATTTTGAAAATGCATTATACTTAATATATTCAGAGAGAGAAAGAGAGAGAGAGAGAGAGAGAGAAAGAGAAATAGAGAGAAAAAGAGAGAGATTCACAATAAGTAAATATCTAATGGAGTATAAACGAATGTTGTATGTTTGATTTATAATACATACGATTCATTTAAAATATTACGAAATACGCAATTCATTCATTTCGCAATTTTCAAATATTTATCAAACATCAATTTCAAATAATTATCAAACATCATTTCAAATAATTATTTAAATTTTTCAAATAATTATCAAACATCATTTCAATATATTCAATTTTTGAAATTTCTCTACGCGCCAAAATCGAAACGGCGACGAGTGTCCTTTATATCTAAATTAAATAGTAAAAGGAATTACCTCTTGCACATATCTCTTGCACATATATAATCAAAAATCATTTACATTCATTCTTCTATATACATGATTGCTGAATCAATTTCAATATTCAATCGTTTGACCATATACTTGAAGTTCGATGGTCATGACATTTGCTTTCAATTAATTACTCTTTAAAAAATCCCAGGCAGCAAGGTGTCATGTTATTTTGACGTCGATAGTTAGTCATTTTAAATTACTGACATCTATGATCTATTTAAGATGTAATAATGATGTTATCTTTTTGACCAATTAATGACGTTATTTATTTATGATCATACTTAATGACACTGTAAAGACGAATAAATGCCAATTGTCCACGTACTAGTAACATTATTAGTGATCAATTAATAACGTCACACATTTATTCCGTTAATAACACGAAAATAATGATATATTTTGATGTCAGTTTATGACATCACATGGTTCTTAAAATGAGAAATTACAAAAGTAATTAAATTTGCTAGAATATTTATAACTTCAACATTTAGCAAATTTATTTATTTTTGTAATTTTCATTTCGTTTTAGGAACCATATAGATTCGTCAGAAGAATAAAATTAATGATACCAAATGGACGACACCGTGCTACCGTTAATAACATGAAAAAAATAACGTATATTTGGCTTATGACATTATGTACCCGTGACAAATTCATGTCATTTTTACGATATTTAGACTTCATTTTAAACGCCACATTCATCATAAAAATGACTACTTAACGACTTAAATAGACATCTTGCTACCCGGGATATAACATGTATGTGAAAGAGAAATTTAGAGGATACATTTCTTAAGAAAGTTTCTTAAACTTTTGTGTGATAATATTAATTTTAAAATATATAAGTAGATAATACAAAAAAAAAAAAGAAATTCATCTATTGTATGTACACACAGTATTTTCTATCAGTAACCCAGTCATTTCTAACAAAAAAGCTTATGAAATACATTTACTTCAAGAATATATCGTTTAAAAAAGTTTGATTTATAATAATGTTCTTAAAATATAAGCATAAAATAACCTAAATTAATATAAAAATGAATACATATACATGTTTTACAAATCAATCTCCGCATTTTTCTAATGAAGAGAATACGACAGATGGCACAGCAAATATTTTTAATCCTCAATATCTACAAACGTGAAATTTATCATAAAATAAACAAGGAAATGTTTCTTGCTTTCAGAATCATTTAATTCGGATACAACTGTAATACAGGATTAAAAATGTTTATGCTATTTGCCATTAGTTTTTTCATTTATAAGAAAAAATATAAACACTAACGCATTTAAAATAACAGTGATAGAAAAAATATATAGACGCATAAAAGCAAAAAAAACGATATTTACAAACATTTAATATTTATACTGTATTTCAAGATGACAATGTTTAATTCATTGTCAACAATTATTATAATTGTTACTAAATTTGACGAACTTTTTTTAAAGTTATATCAAAAATTTGCATCAAAAATTTTTGTACAGTTTATACACAAAATAAACACGTATAGTATGATATGTATTCATACTCCGATTGCACATACTCCGATAATAGAAATCTATTATAAAATACGTCAAAATACGTCTGAAAGTACAAGTGAATACATTAATAGTGTCCGATACGTTTACATCTAAGAAAACACTTTATGATATACAACTCACCAATTTTTTGTATTTGCATGTATGAAGTAATTAAATTATTATTAAGTAATCTAATAATAATAACAACCATATTTGGAGCTCATAATTAAACGATAAATTATATGAACGATAAAGATGTTACATTATAGTGATATTTGGCTATTAAATGTGAGCGCACAAAACACTATTAATGCATCCTGTACATACGTGTTAGTCACAAAATCTCTAAGCATTTACAAACATACATTCATAATTGTTACATTTAATATTCTGTATCTAATATCACATTATATCTCTTAATTAATTTATAAACAAATCTCACTTTGGTAAAAAAGATCACTGATATCTCAATACCAATAAAAATATCTAAATTCCCTACAAATGATTTATAAATTTTTATCTATAGTAAAAATTGGAGTATATGCAATTCAGTTAGGTCAATTCGCGTTTGTTAATTATTTACACCTAATTATGGCGTATTCGTTCGTTTTTATTTTGTAAATTCCTATGTGGAAAAGTTGATTAGCGAAGCTATTATATATACTATATGGAACTATTCGGGACTATTAAGTTCCGAGTGCAATAATTTTGTTTTCCAAACATATTCGAGATATTCAAATAGACATAATAGACATTCAGATAAATTCGAAATGATAGGCAAGTTTACGATATCGTGTAAGCAAACGGAAAATTGATTTCAATTAAAACGCAGCTGTATTTTTCATCATATTCGAAAAAGATTGTTAATTTTTAAATAAACTTTTCATATAAAAACTTTAAAAAGAGACATTAAAAAATACAATTAAAAATTTTGTAATATGTAAATATTGGAAGATTTTTCTTTAATTTCTTTATTTTATTTCCTATTTACTAAAATGTCTGTTACCTGAATGTCTTGTCTGAAGAACAAAATTATTAATTAGACTCTCCGAGGCTAATTTGTTTCGTATGAAATCATGTATCTTTCAAATGTTCATGAGTCATTATTTTGTGTCCGTTTTCCATTATCGGGACTCGACGAGGTACTGCCATTATTACTATTGCCTTCCTGTGTAACACCCAGGACACCTTCATACAAAGTATTATCAAGCTGTACACTAATTTCTAGTTCTCTTTTTGTAGGATCTAAAAAGGAAAAGAAATTATTGTAATAATAGTATATAGTTTTTTTTATTTGCGAATAATGTATACCGATTTAATCTTTTTAAACGAAAATTATATCATATATCAATAATTTGAGAATCTAAACCTCTATCTCTAGACTTACCCCGAGTGCTAATCCTTTGTCTAATACGCAAGGAATGCATCATGTTATGTCCTATGTTATTTCCTTCCACATCGGATAAGAACATTCTTTTGGAGGACGTTGGAGATGAAAGTTCGCCAGCCTCTTGATTTCTCTTCATCTCTCCTCCAAATGCTGGTGAACTGACGGATCTACTAGGGATTGGAAAAGAAATCGCATCCGATGATCTAATCGAATTTTCTTTTGCCTAAACTAAACTAATCTTTTTCTCGCCAATATTAAATTCGATCTTTACCTGTTCCCAGAATTTGCGAGATCTAAGGCTTCCCTCTGTTCAGGACTATTTGCCGGTGCTAATGGTGAGTGAGACGATGATGGAGAAAAAGGTTGGGCCGCTGGATACATATTATTATTACCTGGACTGTACATATTCCATAAATGCATTCCAGATTTAAATCCTTCTGCCATTGCTGCTGGTGGCGGTGTCGATGTGTTACCTTGAATCATCGGATTGTTGGACATTGTGTTTCTGTCTCTCAATATCCTCAGCATATAGTCTGAAACTATACATACTCGATATTAGAAGTGTGATATGATATTAATAAACTAACTCTTAATATGTATGATTTGATCATTTGTGTCCTGCGTATTTTTTTTCTTTGAAATACTAAGAACATCTAGCTAAATAATATGATCTCTATCCTTTCTCTATTTTTTAAAATACACAACTTTATGAATACTTTCTAAAAATGTTAAAGTTTATGTAAAAATCACTTAATATTTTTTGTATATTTGTAAAAGTAATAAAAATTAATCCAGGATATAAACGACATGTGTAAATTATTGTGTGTATTAAGGGTTAAGAAGGATAGATATTCGGAGATAATTTCCTTAAATGTTTTTAATAATTCCAAACATGGATGTATAATATGAATAAAACTCATATCATTTAATGATTATTCTCTTCGCGAGTCTCTATATGCTTTACTTATTTACAGAATAATGTTAAAATAATTTGTAACTTAATAGAAAATGATAATTAGTTTAAGATGGAAAATATAATAAATGAATATAGAAGTTTTTATTCTGTTTGCCAGAGTTCAGAAAATATAAAATTAAAGTACTGTTCAGAATCATGCGGCTAAAAATAAATAAAACAAATAACTAAAATAATTTCAAATTTTATGAGGCGATCGATCGGCAATTGTTTCCTGTCTCTTAATTTAAAAGTTTGTTAGTTTTCTTTTTAATGTTGTCAATCAATGCATCTTAATTTCGAACCATTCGTGTGAAAGACAGTGAATGAGTCACTATAAAAGTTTCATCAACCTCTGAATTCTACAAATTACTTTAAAAATAAATGAAATTCAAATTAATTAGCTTTTAAAGTAAAATTCAAAATAACAGTTATGCATAAAAGAAATGATGTTCGATTGCAATGCAAACATTACAACAATTCATTAAACTGATATAGATGAATTTCTTAATCATCTGGAATGTCATTGGATTATCAGGCTTTGATTTCATTATTCTGTTATTCTGAAACATATATATATATATATACTCTCTCTAAATCTAAATCAGTGAATAGTGAATAGTCACTAATTACCCAGTGGCATACTAATAATCAGTAAAATTCAACTAAAAAAAGGAAAAATATTTGAACATTATATAACTAAAATACTGATATTTGCACGTTAATTTTAATTTTCCAATACTATATTCATTGAATTTAAGCACTAAAACAAGATTAATTATATCATATAATAAAGATTAGCTAGGTTAAGGATCTCACATTTAATTCACTGATTATCAGTGGCATATTTGGCATTGATATCAGTGATTATTCACTGATTCAGATTTAGAGAGCATATATTATAAATAAGTAAAAGTAAAAAGGGCTACGAGCCTAAAACATAAATTGACAAACTGTATGAGTAGTTAAAAAAGTTTTCTTGAAATAAAACTATGTCATAAATTAAAAACGTAAAATATAATTTGACAATCAGAAGGTGAACAAACGTTTCGATCCTAGTTGGATCATTTTCAATGTGACAAATAAATTAGTGTGACAAAGTAAATTAACAACGGTAATTAACAATAGAGTTATAACGTAGATAAAAAACATAAGAGATCAAGTAAAATTCGCATTCGGACGCAAATTAACTATAAAATTCGCTCCAAATTGAGAGGAAATCAAATAAACGATTATAGTTGACAAAAATGTGCTTCTCTGAACCGTATATGTGTATAAGGACGAACATGTTTCTGTTAGCAAGTATAAATTGTAATAATAAATTAGACGGTAGAAGTAAATAAAAATAAAAATAATAAGAACAATAAGAAAAGTACGAATCGAGTCGCAAACAGTAAAAAGGAAAGTACAAATAAGTCGTAAATAATAAGTCAAATTTAAAGAAAGAGGCAAATATTATCTTTGATATTATAAGACAAGCACATAAGAAAAAAGTAAATCGCCAACATGCATTGCATATGTATGATAAGTTTAGAATAAATAAATTCACAATAAATACCTTATGTGTGTGTCGAAATGATGTATTATAGATTAGGCAATGCGAATGGAATCGAAATTGATCGTGTCTCTAAGAAGCTAAGATATAAAGTACGACATATAAAGACAAGAAGGTTGAAATGGAAAACTAGAAAGGGAAGGGGGAAAAAAATAATAAGAAGGAAAGAATAAAGTGGAAGGGAGAGAAAGTAGGGAGAGAAGAGAAGGATGGGGAAGGGAAAGCAATCAAGAGGGAGAAAGAGACTGGATGATCTGTGAATAAGTATCGGGTAAAGATTCGGTATCGTTTTGTCTATTAAGGCCTTGTTTCTGTCTTTTAATATGAATCATTTCAGATACCAATCTCTTATTGTAAGAAGATTCGCAGTCCAAAATTCTCACATCGTTCCATTTGAAATTATGATCAAAATTGATTCGATGATCAGTTATGACAGTAGGAGAACCTGTATTCTTTTTGATGTCAGAGATATGTTCGTGTAGTCTCATATATTATAAAACTGAATTTTACAGCAAATTTTTCTTTAACTGACTGCTCATCACGTTAAATTAAAGCGATCAAGGTACGCTTATCCGCATAATTCTATCAAACATCCGTATAAATTATAAAATAGTTGAGAATTTATTTATTTAAAAAAATTAATTCTTGATCGTGTTTCGTGCCAAACTCAAAGTTCGAACAAATGATTATCGATATCGTGAAAATTATATTAATAAATTTTATATACAAATGAGCGATATATTAAAATGCAATATTTGCGATGAATGGATCAGCTAAAAATACCACGATATTTTGACCTCTGGGTATTCATTCGATACTATATGATTATTCATACCGCGATAAGTAGCAATATTGCTACTATAATGAAGATATATATCCACTGAACATCCGATCGCGTCGCACAAGGAAACGATCGAAGGAGAGCAGCGAGTGCGATCGAAGCGCGACGTTACTCAGATCGCTGTCGACGAGATGGAAAGAGAGAAGGAAAGGGTAGGGAAATAGGAATGCTCGTTAGCGAGAGCCATCCGTTAACGCCTGTCTTCCGGAGGATCGTACAATCAATTATGCCTCCTTCGCTCTCGCATCATCATCTCCGAGGAGGCCCGAAGCACTACCTACCGATTTAAAATAAACCCGTATACTCTACCTTCTCCCGTTTCCTTCTACCATTTTTTCTATCTTGTCCCTTGATATCTTCCCTACCGTCGGGAAGTCTCTCATTTTTGCTCTTTCCTGTACTCTTTTTCTATTTCTATTTCTGATATGGGGCGTGTTACGAATTGCCTTTCATTTGAAAAAGTATCATAGATAAAACCGAAGTTATTAACTATAATACTTTACGCTATGGTACAATGAAAGAAAAGATTGGCTGCTGCAGTAAATTAGATGGTAAAATATAGAATAGCATTTTTATTAATTGGTTGCAGCACTCAATTTTTGGTTGCACCAGCCTATCGAAATCTTATATTGACATTGCGAATAGACTAACATAATCAAAAATTGGCTGCTGTAGCTAATTTATTCAGCCAATCTTTTCTTTCAGTGTAGTAATGTCAAACATATGTAATGTACGAAAATGGAAATTTCACACGAATTTTAATACAACAAAATTCGTGTGAAAAATTTTCGTCTTCGAAAAAAACAAAAATCACTTACGCTGATTAGATGGAAGATTAGCCAGATTTGGTGGAAGATGTTGCGGATGATGTTGCGAACCGTGTGGATGTCCATTTACGACATGATGTTGCGATTCATTCGCAGCCACCGCCATTTGGGCGATCGAGAGCGGCAATGGCATTGGATTTGGCGGCAGCGAGTTGTGCTGGTTTCGCGGTACTTGATTGTCAGCGTAAGTCGTATAATTGTTTCTGCGGCTCTCACGACGATTTGTCTCGATCGCCGTCTGGAGTTGTTCTTGAGTCGACAGTCCCTCCTTCTCTTTCTCATATGGATACAGATATTTCATATACCTATTGATAAATTACTTTAGTAAATATATATCTTTTCACAAGATAATAAAATCTACACATTTTGCTGAAATACTTAGAAAAAAAAATCTAGCTAGATACAGAATTGAAAATAATTTTGTTTGGATCAAAATAATTGTGGAACGCTCAAAATAGTTGCTAAAATGTTAAAACTTTCTACAACATTGTCATTAACCACGCTTAACCATTCTACATAATAATAATATTTTGGCCCAACGAAATTATTTTCAGATCTGTATCTATATAAGTTAAGTTTTTAGATAACCATAGATCTTTACTTCTTTCCGTGTAAAAGTTGTAACATGAAATATTCGCAAACATAGGGATTTAACAGATACAAAACATAGTCTTAAAAAACGGAATCCTGTCCCTACTTTATACAATAAAGGCAACAAAATCATATCATTAAGATAAATTTCATTCAAGGTTTTTTTTTAAAAACGTGCCAAACGTTGAATGAACATAATTAGCTTGCGTTACTAGAAAGACAGGAAGATAGTTGGACGTCACGATTCAAGTTAATCGACACTGATTCTTGCCAGATGAATGCTGTCGCGAACAGATTTTGTTGAGGCCGACCGTATTTTCGTATTTTCTCCTCTATCTCGCATACATATCGTCGAGGAAAGATAGCCGGTTGCCGGAATGATGGATGCGCCATCGCGACGAGGTGAGGCGAGGCGACGCAAGGCGACGCGACGCGTCGTGCACAAAGCGCGTTGCGCGGAGTTATTTTCACGAGCAGTACGAGCACACCCCTAGCATCGCGCCCGTGTAATTCATATTAGCCCGCACTTATAATGTGTCGGCGTCCTCCATCCCTCGTCTCCTGACCCGCGCATTTTCGCGTCCTTCTCTTTTCCATTCCCGTGTAGCTTCTCTTCTCCGTCGCGCGTTCGACCGCGGGATGAGCGGGATGCCTCGCGCCGTCGTCTCTCCGACGAATCTCTATTTAGAGATGTCTCGTCCTCTCCCGTCCCTCGGCGGGGAGACGAGACATCGCGAACGGCAGATAAATCTTCGTCGCCGCGCTGGATATGCCCGGTATTATATAAACGAATATATATCGTGCCAACGGTTTCCAGGTTGTCACAACCCACCCCGCGAGATGTCCCGCTCGTGAAGAATCGCGCGGGGGATCCGACGTAGACTGGTCTTAGACGACATGTCGGCTAAGACGATGCACCTGTATGTCACGCCTCTAACTCGACACCTACGTTGTTTTATCTCCTCGTCGACAGTGAGCGCGTAATAACATGCTTGCAGGCCCGTACACACATCTCTCGCTTTCTCGATCGCGAAATTCAAATTCGTCGAATTACACTGGCTAATGTACAGAGTTGCGTTCCAAAATTCAACTCGAATATCATTTTATCCTTGTTAGTCGTCGAATGTTGAATAAAAATAAAAGATACTCGGAATTAATTAAGAGTCAATCCCTGGACGGTATATAACCGTAAGTTATCTTCAGGGATTTGAACTTTAACGCAGCTTCGGACTCGTGGATTAATTACAGAGATATTTATTTAGCGAAATACAATAATGGAGAAACGTTTGCTGACAACATGACTAAACGATGCAAATATGTGCGAATAGTATGATCCGCTATCATACCGCGTATCTTGTACGACACGGACAGCTTTATCGAACACGATGATCTTGACGAGGCGACGCGCGTAAAAGTCACGACACTCTTAGTCATTGTTACAGATTTCACGCTCGGATGACTCTTCGTCGACTAAGACGTATTGTATGCGAATTACGAAGGGCCTGAGCATTATGTCTGTATAGGCGAGACCGGAGTCCCGGATGAGAAACTTCACGATCTACTTACTGAGTTCGCAAAGTAAACGCGGCAGAAGTGATGCTTGCTGGTAGTCGAAGACCCTTGATAATTTCCTGCCACAGCTTCTTGTTGATTACCTCGACCAGTCCACCTCGTAATACTACTAACTTGTAAAGCTCATAGAGATCCAATACGGATTTTGCCATGATGGGAAGTCGGCTGATGGGTGTACCTGTAAAATAAAGATGACTTTACATTTATACGTGCATTTAATATCAAAATATTATCATTCACTTTGAGAAAAAAGATTTCAATCTGCGCAATATGCGTGAAATTTAAATGCACGCATTAAAATTACACTGTTTTATTTTTCCGTATTCTTCTCAATAATAAATAAAATTGTATCGTATTATATCATATTCATATTTATTATTATATTTATATTATATTTATATTATTATTATATTTATATTATATTTATTATTGTATTTATAATTAAATCATAAAATACGATTCGTTGCTGTAAAATATGCTCGATTAATAAAGATAAAGATTCAGAAATTTCACGCTGATTTTTAAGAGATTTCCTAATTACCGGAATTTCGCAAAATCAATAAACGACTGATATAATCAGACAGTAGGTGATGTAAACCATCCTTTATTCATTGCGTGATCAGTCAAGGCAGATTTTGCGATAGTCTTAAAGCACGACTAGCGTAAAACCGTTGGATTTTATGAGGTTTGTCCAGAGATATCCAGCGTGGGGCGTTAACAAGAGCAATAACGAATTCGCAACAATCACGCGAGTGGCGCAGTCTTTTACGATCTTTCTTAAGGTGTATCGCGTCAGATACGGATAAAGAGAGAAAGAGAGAAAGCATAACCGATTAAAGGTACAAAATGAACGCGAAGTGGAAAATTCGATAAGGTAATCGAAACGAATTGTATTAAAAGTTATCGATTGGTGCTCGCAAACAGCTCTTTTATGAGCTCTCACACGATAAAAATGCAAATGACATTTACGAATTGTAACAAAAATTGACAACAAATTCTGCTTTCGATAATATTTGTCTGATAAAATAAATTAGCCTTATTAGTTCAGCACTAAAAATTAATTGAGCCGTTTTAAAGAAAGACGCACGTATTGTGGAATGTAACGCCAGGATGCTGCGCATTCGGAATTATACGACGCCACACGTGGAAGTCAATGGCACGTAATAATGTGAGAGATATTCCTCGTCAAGCGACATTCAGAAAGATACCAAGAAATTCTTTAGTTAATTCGTGTACGCGTATTATCGCCGCCTACTATGGTAGCCAGGCCATTGAATTTTACGAGGTTGCCTCCACCACGAGTTAACGGAGTGTTAACAAGAGAAGCAGTGCGACTATCGTGCGCTTAAACTACGTAAACGTAAACGCACCTTTACGACCTTTCGGGTTGGCGTAATCTGAGGTTTAGAGTCGCGCATAAATGCACCGAGCGACGTTTCTGAAACGAATGAACGATTGAAAATCATAGTAACGCTCCGAACAAACGTTAAAAGCGCGTGTCATTTTTTTATCTCGCGGAGAGATAAAGAAAAATCTATAATTTTCAGTTTCAGCAATAAATTAAAATTAAACCCTTAAATTAGACCCTTGCGCATCATCAAGCGTATCGCAATTTAATTTCCTATTTTTTTTTTATACTCTTGATTTTTACGTCTCAACAAAACTGTGCGAAGCTCGAAAATTGTCGATAATTCTCGATCCCTTCGCCACGTGGTGGTCGCCGTTTTCCACGGGGCCGGTGAATTTTACGAGTTTGTCCAAAGGTTCGAGTTAACAGGGCGTTAACAAGAGCAATACTTGCGACTATCGCGCGTGCGGAGCCCGCGCTTTTGCGGCTCTTTACGAGCTCGCGAACGATTCTGTAAGAGATGCCTCGGTACGCGGGAACGCGTTGTACGAACACGCAGGCAACACAGACGTAGATGAGACGGACAATGAGAAGGAGAAGCGCACGTTTCGCGGCGCGGCGCCGTATCGCAGGATCGTTTATCCGCCATCGAGGACGATGAACGGGGCTGCCGCCATTTCTGACCGACGAGAGGAGGCAATAAAACCGCGCTGCTCGGGGTAGGGGAACCAGCAATTTCGGGCTATCGAGCGTGCTCCCTTCGGGTTTATTATTGGCCCTGCAATTATTGTTGATATACGCGCAACCCGGCAACCCGCGCTTAATGTTCCTATGTAGGGTGCGGCGATAAAAGCTGCACAACATGGCGACCGATACTCGGTTCCCTCTCGTCCCTTGCATTGCGCGAGAGACTCCTCGGTGAAAATGCAATCGATGGCGGCAGCGATGCACCGAGTATCCGATCATCTTCCTCTCGCTAGAGTGCTTCGTGAAATTTCTCGCAATACAATGCTGCAACTTTCTCTCGATATGAATCATGATGTATAAGACCAAATAAGTAGTGTAATAGTTTCTCAATAAGCGATTAAGGTAAAAGAATCAAATTAACAAAAAACAATTACGTTGCTTTATATTTTATAAATTATTGAATTTTCAAATTTTTTAAATTCTTAAAGAGGCAGGAAAGGATTTGCAAAGTTACGCTTAACCTTCTTACGCGATGTAATATTCCTCGACGTGAGATTGACGAGAAAGGGAGGGGCGATACAAAACAGCGGGAGTGAATGCTCAGGAAGATAAAATAGTGAGAGAAAGGAGAGGATAGGGAGAGAAAGAGTAAAAGGGAAATAAGAGAAAGAAAGAGGAACGGACAAAGAGAGAAGAGAGAGAGAGAGAGAGAGAGAGAAGGGGGGGGGGAGGAAGGGAACGTTTCAGGATGCGATTACGACTTTTCTTGGTAGGGCGTCCAATCAGCAGTTATTTTTATAACGGCCGCCGTCGCGCCATACCGCGGACTCGTCCAAGTAACAGTGGCCATCGCGTGTTGCTTTCAACGAGTTAAAGTTGCCATTCGCTTCGCGTACATTACGCGAGTTTCCCGCGGAAAAAAGCATGCGACAGATCTTACGATAAAAATCACGTGCACAGCACGTATCGTCGATACCATTCCAACCCTCGTTTTCTCGCAAACGTAGCAACGAGATCCGTCGTATATTTTCTGTAATATCCCAATAAATTAAACGAAAGCGTTGGACGAATGTTGAACAGGAGCCGACAGCTTGGTTTAATTCAAATGACAAAATGGTGAAAATTATGAGCCATAAAACTAAGATAATTTTCTTAGGAAATTCAGACGCCATCGTTCTGTTTCAATAATGTTTCTCTCAGGAGAAGAGAAGATGAAACCGAACTGAGAAATCCCAACGAACGAAGGCGCGTCTTGGTATCATATTTGTCGAGTATACCCTCGCGAAGGTGTAGTGGGGATAATTGATATACGAAACAAAAATGTTTCATTTTATGGGTTATTGCGAGGGGCGAATAGATGCGGCGGGGTCGAGAGGGAGTGACCGATCTAATAACAATTGGTTACGTTGGAGGCCTTCATTAACACACGCATTCACCCCATCCTATCGATGTGCGAACCGGTCTCCCCGTGTTCAAAGGGAGTTTCAGACGCGCGAAACGGCTTTTCCCAGAATCTCGCGTGACGGCCCCGGAATCCACCGTACATAAACCGGAATACACCCCTGTAAGATCGCACGTCATTTATCCCAGCAATTCGGTTGTTCCCGTTAAGAGTAATTTTTAATTCCAGATCTTAAGACTTTTTCTTTTCTACAAATGCGTCACAAATTAAAACATATTTCTTGATTAATCAAGGAAACAAAATCAAGGGATCGATACGACTCATCTCTAATGACTTGGAAGAAGATTTTCAAATTTTTTGAAAGTGAACATCGTATCTTTCATCGGATGTTTTACGAGCTGATTTGCGGCTTTGCGGTTCACATTGTTATACGTCTTCCTGTCTACTTGATGATCAAGTGTATAATGCACCATAGATGATCCAGCAAAATGTCTTTTGTAGAAGCTACTTACACTTACGCAGGCAACCGCACCTTTTCGTTTTCGAAAAGATCCTTTGAGATTCTTTTCGAAAAGCGAAGCAAAGAACGCAGCGCGGAAAGAGGAAGACCAGAGAAAAGGGACGAGGACGAAAGAGAAAGAGAGAGAAAGACGATTTCTAGAGAGAAGAGTCTCGCGCGGGTTAACTTTGTTAGCGCTTGGCATTATCAGGCCAGCAAAAGAGATTGGCATTGCGAGGAATAGCTGGGAGGGGGTGGAGTTTCATATGAAATACACGTGACATTTACTGCCTTCACCGGCTGGGCCCCTGCAAAGACGCAAACGCATTATAAATAGATCTCCTCCCTGTTTACTCCCCCCCCTCCCCTCTCTCTCTCTCTCTCTCTTCACCCTTTTTTTTCCTCCGCATCACTCGAGTTCTCACTCCAACTCTCCAGTCGAGAGGCTCGAAGATTAAGAAAGGTCCCGAGAGGAAAGAGGGAGCACGGTACAGCCGCAGCCGCCGCATAGACCGCTACAATCTGGTTTATAATCTTGTTAGGATTTCGCGGAAATATTGGCGTAATTTACGATCCGTCTTAGTGAAGTTAACTGTCGGAGAGTGCCGCAATGAAACGATGAAGGCATACGAAGGGTTGCGTTCAACGGCTGCGCTTTTGTAGCAATGCTTACGGGTCTCGTCGTTGCATTTCTTTGTGTCCCTTCTTTTCTCTCCCACCCCTCTATGCCCTCTCTCCTCCTGTCTCATTCCTTTTTGTCTCTTCAATCGTCTTTTAGCCGTATATTCTCTCTTTTCCGATTATTCATCCCTCAAACCGCCTTCTGAAGTGTCGCGTTAGTCGCGGTTTTGTATTCGAAATCTTCAGGTATACGTCGCGATTTGAATACGATAGTTGCCGACTCAACGTGAGCCGTGAATCGATACGAACGCGCAAGACACGTAAACAAAGTGACAAATTATCAACGAACTTTTACAGATCTGCCTTACAGGCTGCTGCAAAACGATGTTATGTTTCTTCGCGCGTTAGAACTGCGATACATCATGCCACCACAAATGCAACACCGTTGGTGGGTTCCACTATCGAGGCATCGAAATCTCTATGAGGATTCACCGTTAACGATCCCCCAAGAGCCACTTGTTGCTAGACGAATCAAATAATTGTATTTCCGTCAGTCGACGAGGCATCCCCGGGGCGTCGACTAAGTTACGGGTGTGGAGCAAAATAGAAAAGCGCTTCGTG